TCCATCTGTATTCTAACTCAAACTTAGGCTTTTTCCTGCCCTTTATTTTATTCTCCTTCCTTTTTCCTCCTTCCCTTCCCAGTGAAGTAGGAATCAAGTCAAGGCTAAGGGTGGTTGAAATGTTTTATTATAAAGATAACAGATGGAAACAAAATCTTGGTAATCATGACATTGTGGACATGTAGTCACTTACAAACAGAGGTAGCTTATGGGTTCCAAGACAGTTGAGTTGCTGATCTAATATTGCTTGACTAGTAAAATCAGTAGATATTCTAGAATTTGACACAGTGAAGGATTAAGTGGAAGCTTTGGGTGCAAAGTGATCATGATTAATTTTGACCCATGCTAAGTCATACAAATATATGGTTAAAGAAAATATTAGCTGATGAGACTGACAAACACTGATAAAAAAATTTCCCATTAAAAAATAGCTTACCTTCTTCTCATTAAACTAATTGTAAAATATACAAAGAACTAAGAATCTGCCTGCAATGCAGAAAACTGGGGTTCGTCTCCTGGGTTGCGAAGATTCTCTGGAGAAGGCAATGGCAGCCCACTCCAGTATTCTTGCCTGGAGAATCTCATGGACAGAGGAGCCTGGCAGGCTACAGTCCATGGAGCCGCAAGAGTTGGACACAACTTAGTGACTAAACCACCACCATGAAGTAGGAATATGCAGTGTAGGGAATATAGTCAGTAACATTGTAGTAACTTTGTATGGTGACCAATGGTAACTAGGCTTATGGTGATTATTCCATTGTAGGTTGTACACCTGAAACTAATATGTGAATTATAATTCAATAATTAAAAAAAGAACAATCTGAATTTTCCCTTGTGCAGCCCTAGGCACAATTCCAGTACTTGTTACTAGAAGCTGTTCTAAGAACTAAAGAAGGGCCCAAAGCCTGGAAGTAAGTCCTAAGAGGAAGAATGGTTGAGGAAAGGGCTGGCTCGGTTAGTTCCCTATTTTCCCCTGATTCAGAAAATGAAGTACATTCCAGGTCCAGTTATGCTAAGGTCAATTCAGTTTCGGCACATTGATGAGGACCCCTTTGTTTCTAAAATTGATACTGAGGAAAAAGCAGAATGGAGGCTTATGAAGATACTCAGTCAGACTGTTCTGAAGAATACTCCTCATCTTTACCATCCTCCTGTCATCAACCAATCAGTGAAACACTTGTATTGTCCGCTGCAGGCACTAGTGTTTTACTAAGAGAAGACAAGAAAAGGAGAAAAGAAATGTGTGGTTATTGCCACTTACAGTTAGAGGTCATACCTGGTTATTTCTGCTAACCATTCTTTCTTCCTTTCTTATGTTTATTTGGCTGTGTTAAGTGTAAGTTGTGGCATGAGGGATCTTAGCGTCATGGACGATCTTTCTTGTGTCGCCTGGGCTGAGTTGCCCCATAGCATGTGGGATCTTAGTCTCTGGACCAGAAATCAAACCCAGGTCCCCCGCACTGTGTGGTGGATTTTTAACCACTGGATCACCAGGGAAATCCCATTCTAACTTTCAAACTTCAGCTTAAAAGTAACTTCTTCTGTCAGACCTTCCTTGACCCCCTAGGTTAGTTTATATCTTCTTACCCTCCAGAGCAACATGTACTTCCCTTTCTTTGGACACACAGGACATCTTTAAGCCACCCTGAGAGGCTCAGCGTTAACAAATCTGCCAGCGAGGCAGGAGATGCAGGAGAGGCATCATCTTCCCCTTGAGTCAGGAAGATCCCCTTGAGGAGGAAATGGCAATCCATTCCAGTGTTCCTGCCGCAATAATCCCATGGATAGAGGAGCCTGGTGGGCTACAGCCCATGGGGTTGCAAAAGAGTCAGACATGACTGATGCACACACGCCTGACATCTTTTATTACCTGTTTGCTGCTGTCATTGCAATTAAATCCTATGCTGTGCTCACCACTTTACTCACACCAAGCATAGTGCCTGACACAGGTTAGCCACTTGATACATATTTACTACATGGAATTGGCTTGACCTGTACTCTAATTATGGCTGTATGAGCTGTATTCAAGGAGAGAAAGAAGATGAAGACAAAATCCCAAATTAATATAATTGGCTCCATCATTTGCAACTAGAATTTGCAAAAGATTACCTAAGTGCTGAGGGAATGTAGAACAGTTGAGTGGCCAAAGTCTTTTTGGACAAGGTGCATGGTGAGCAAGAAAGTTTTGATCTTATGTGTTTCTAATGTGTTACAAACCAAAACATTAGTGAAAAGGGAGTTGTTCAGTTTGGTACAAAAAAAAGCTGAAGTAGGAAAGGTTGTATTCAGTACATTGAAAAATGTGTATTATATACCATGTGCAGAGAATACAACTGTGAATAAGACATGGTCCTTGCCTTAAGAGCTAAATCTCTTGAAAAGGTGTAAGTCAATAATTGCAATACAAATTAGTGACTGTTGTGACAAAGAGGTAATTATGAAAACTTGAAGAGAAAGAGATGTTAATTAATTTGGGTCTTAAACAGTGGATAATTGAAGAGAGGAGGAAAAGGCTTTTTCCTGCAATAGGAATAGCATTTGAAAAGGCAAAAGTGTAATAAGCCTGTCAGGCCAGATGGTGCCAACAGAGATTCCAGAGGTGATTAAGCAATGAAATGAAAAGGCCAAGTGTGCTTTTTGTTTGTTTTAAAGGTTAACTAGATCTTTACCTTAAAATAAAGGAGAAAAAAATTGCGTTTTGGTCAAACATCTCTAGATTCTTGAGTCAGATTTCCTGGCCTTGATTTCAGGCTCTGCTTCCTATTAGCTGTGTGACCACTTTTTTGTACCTCAGTTTGCTTGTTTGTAAAATAGGGTTAAAAATAACACCTGCCTGACAGTGTGGTTATGAGGACAAAATTAGCTACTATATGAAAAAAAAATTGTAGAATGCTGCCCATAAAAGTGTCTTTTCTTGTGATTACAAAAGTATTATTACTTTCTGCCAGTCAGGGGGTGATTTAGTCATATTTCATTGCCTTCGCCTCAGGCTTGAGTGACAAATTTTTGTTTCTGAATAAGTGCAGCCAGGCCAAGGACTTCCCTGGCAGCTCAGTGGTAGAGAACCTGCGGGTGAATGAAGACATGGCTTTGATCCCTGGGTCAGGAAGATTTAGAGAAGGAAATGGCAACCCACTCCAGTATCTTGCCTGGGAAATAGGCAAGAGCCTGTCGGGCTGCAGTCCATGGGATTGCAAAAGAGTTGGACACGACTTGGTGACCAAACAAGCAGCAGCAGCCAGGCCAAGATTCAAACATACCTAAGTGATGGTTGTGTAACATTAAAGTTTGGAAAGCACAGGTATTCAGAATGTGCCCTATGTGAGGATCACAAATGCTCCTTTTGCCTTCAGGTTGGAAGTGGATTTTGGACTGTACACATATGGATAAGGTGACTTTCAAAAGATTAATTTAAAAATTACCTACATAAAAATTTTACCTACTTAATAAGAGAAAATCCTCATGATAATTTCTAATCAAGTAGCAATAATTCTGGTGATAACTATTTGCTTCTATAAGAGTCAGCTAACCAAGCCTTCTGTCATTTTAGCAATATAGGAACCCACAGTTACCAATAAGCAGTTAAGTGAAGAATTATCTTCAGGAAAGCAATTTCCCACATGTTAAACTGATTTTCTTGAGTTCTTTCTAATTCGATGTGTCTTTCAAGCAGCTGAATTTGTTGATAGCAGGGAGGAATGTCAAGGAAAGTCTTGGTTTTATAATGGAAGAAAGGTAAAGTATATTTACCTTGTATATTTATTCTGATCATTCAGAGTATTGGGGAAACAAGATTTGGAGACCAGGAGTTTAGCTTTTGGTTTCATCATTTATAAACTGTGATTTGGCCAAGTCACTTAACCTCTTTAAGTTTCATATTTGTTATTTTTATAATCCAGGTAGTTTTGAGTGTCAAATGATGCCTGTGAAAGTGTTTTGACACATAATTATTTCATTAACAGATTAAACACATTTGGGTTGAAAAATGATGACAAGTACTGTACTTGTCTAAACTCAGCAAACTGCCAGGAACTTTAAATTTCATGAAGACATTGCCCTAGCCCTTCAGAGGTTTGACTGACTTTTGACTTGTTCAAGGTCCCGAGCCTGGTTAGTGGCAGCCAGAGTCTCGGTCTTGATTGCTAATCACCTAGTCTTTCCTACTACACCACTGTCATTCATCATTCATTCAATAGAGCTTTATGGAAGATAAATGCAAAAACATTGTGCTAGTTGCTGTGGGTGATTCTGATTTATCAGATGCAGATCCTCCTCTCAAAGAACAGAGAAACTAGTGGGGTAATAGCCATAAATGTATAGTCAGAAGCTGGGACGATAAGTATGAATAAACTATTATGTGACCTGGTGAGGATCAGTGGTCCCTTGGTAGAAGAGGTGACAATTCAATTCTGCTCCAAAAGGCAGAAAGGATTTGTACATAAGTCTTAGGGCTTAAAATAGGCAGTCCAGGGTTACAGTAAGGTGAACAAAGGCACTGGTCTTAGCCCTCAATAAATTCTAGGAAGTTTAAGGTTTTGGTTTTTTTTTGGGGGGGGTAACAAGATCCATCTCTCACCTGTGAATCTTGCAGACTTCTATTGTTCCCTCTAGAATGCCTGTCAAGGACAAAATTCATGTAACTTGCCAGAAGGCCTTGCTTGATTCACTCCAGGCAGAGTGAAGGACTGCCTGCCGTTTCCATGGTTCCCTCCCCGCCCACCCACTTTTTCAGGGCACTTATGACACATCTCTATTTATTTCACTTTGCCCCGCACCCTTCACCCTGTTTCTGATCTTGACTATAAAAGGGCAGCGTGCATAAGTGTATCTTCAACCTGGGTACAGTGACAAAGTGCACAGTTGCCTGACAATTTGGGTAAAGGAAGGGAACACTTGGCATATCCTCTTTCTTCCTCTGCCAGACGCCTGCCCACACCTTCTTGCAGATTCAGCCGTGAAAGTCACGTTCTCGATGCACCTGTAACTTTTTCTACCGCCCCCTACCACACGGTAGGCACATGCCAGAAAGGCTGTGTCTGATTCCTCTCTGTGACACCTGGGCCCGGCACGTAGCGACCCGTCCACGGAGCGGCCAGATGAATGGAGACTTGTCGAGGCGGCGGAAGCCCGGCGAGGTTTCCTCGGAACCAGCTCCACCTGTTTCTGGGTAGGATCCCAGCGGCTGGGCCCGTGACACTCAGGGCATGATGCCCACCAGCCCCACTCCCTCCAGAGACAGCCCGTGCCTTCCCACCCGCCCATCCAGCGGCCGACCCCATCCCCACGCCCCCACCCGACACCACGCAACCTCGTCCTAGCGCCTCTCTGGGCGTCAGCCCGCGAGCCGCGCCGCCTGCGATTGGCCAAACACGGCATAGCGCCATCTCGGCCTACAGCGCGGCGCTCGCCCTCATTGGTGGGCGGCGGCAGGGGGCGGTGACGGTGGGCGGAGCCCCGCCCTCTGGTCCCTTGCAGGGGTCGAGCCCAAACGCCGGCGACACTCATGCGGCCGGGCGGCTATCTAGGCGCCAGGCGGTTACTCTGGTTACTGCCGAAGCGCTGCACTGGGAGGGCTGCCGCCGCCCGTGAGGGATGCTGGTGATGAGTCGCTCGGGAGCCGCCGCCGCAGCTGCTCTCTGAGGCGGGGAGCGCCCTGGAAAGTGTCGTTCAGCTGGGTGAAGATTCGGGGACCGGTGCCTTGGGAGCCGCGGGGAGGAGGAAGTTTGGAGGTGGGGGCTACGCTTCCCAGTCCTGGAGCCGCAGTCTCGAGTCCGAGGCCATCTTTGGTGGGAGAAGGCTGCCCTGTCCGACGTCTCCCTCTGAGAGTGGAGGCCCCGGGCAAGAGGAGTTCTCTCCGCGCCGTCTCAGTTCTCGAGCTTTCCGACCCGGTGAGGCCGCAGTTCCCCAGCGCAAGATATTTCTTTGATGTTTGTCTCCCTGTTGCTCTTCCGAAAGGACACCTGCTGCTAGTGAGAGCGAAGAGCAATTTCACTGCACGACAAGCCAACAACAAAATTCAATACGTTATCCGGAATTAATCTCCCAGGACTCCCAGCACTCCCCCACCCCCCATAGATGGATTGCTTGAGAGGGGAGAGTCTGATCGCGAGCTGTTGGAGATTTTTAAATACTTTTCTTTAAATCCTGGAGAAGGTTCTGGTCTAAAAGTACTTTTTACTAACTTATATGATTTTGTAAATTTCTCTGATTTGAATTGTAATCCCGTGACGGTGTTTCCTGGACTTTGGCCGGTCCCCCGCGCTCCTTTTTGGCAACACATTTTGGGGAGAGCATCTAAACGCCAAAACCCTACCAGGAAAAGAAAAAAAAAAAAATCTGACGTTGATCCGGAGTCCCCGAAGAAGCCTTTTAACCATGTGGACTTTCCTCGGCATCGCTACTTTCACCTATTTTTATAAGAAATGCGGAGACTTTGTCTCTCTGGCCAACAAGGAGCTGTTGCTATGCGTGCTGGTGTTCCTGTCGCTGGGGCTCGTGCTGTCTTATCGCTACCGGAGCGGGGCCCTCCTCGGGCGCCGGCAGAGTGGCTCGCAGTTGGCGGGCTTCTCCTATATTATGTCAGCTTTGCCTTTCATTGGCTTCTTCTGGGCCAAATCCCCCGCTGGATCAGAAAATAAAGAGCAGCTGGGGTCTAGGAGGGTAGGTTGAATTCAAAGTGGGCACGTGTATGAGTGTCTTATATTTAAAATTAGGACTGCGATCACCCAGATGTAAATACGGTAATTTAAAGGGTGAAAGGCTGCAAGTTAGATATTCTGTACAAATTCTGACATAGATGGTTTTGTTTTTTTGTTTTGTTTAAGCGCCTGACTGCTCTTGACTACATCCTTGGCGCTCTTAGAAATGATGGAAAACCTTTGTTTCATTTAGTGTTGGTGGTGCTAGAGCTAAATGAACTTGGTTTGATTAAGGAAAGGTGAAATGTTCAAGTCAGTAGGACAGAATCACTGTCTGTGATGGAAAAATAGTTTTATTTAAATCCTTTGGTGAGGATTGTGTTTGAACCTGGGAAGAAAGAAGAAAGCTGCTTCAGGTAAACTCGTTGCTAATAAGAAGGGACAGCTGCCTGGGGAAAGTCACAGAACAGCTGGAAGAACTGGCTGAGTAAAAATGCTCAGTGTTTTGAAGTCTTGGGCAAAACACCCTTCTCTCCCCACATCAGTGAAGCCTTGAGTAAATCAGTGTCCTAGGTTAGGTGAATAATTAATGTTTGGTCCCTGCAGAGACAGCAGAGGAGGACAATGGTGAGAGATGAGCGGGGAAAAGATTGTTGAGGCCAGAATATTTAGGGCCTGTTGGCCTTGGGTGTTTATACTTTTCCCCAAGAGCACTGGAGGATTAAAGTATGTGAGTAATGATATTTGATTTTTACTTTTTATTTATTATTTTTTTAAGTCTTTATTGATTTTGTTACAATATTGCTTCCATATTGTGTTCTGGTTTTTTTGGCCACAAGGCATGTGGAATCTTAGCTCCCCGACCAGGGATCAAGCCCACATCCCCTGCATCGGAAGGTGAAGTCTTAACCTGTGGAATGCCAGGAAAGTCCTTGACTTTCACTTTTTAAAAAGAACATTCTAGTTTCTGTGTGGAGAATGAATTGTAGGAGGACAAGAATGGAAGCAGGGATGTGGGCTGATAGAGTCTTGCAGTAGGCCAAGTAAGGGATGATGGTGACTTGACATTAGCGGGTGTGGCCTACACAGTAATTCACTCCTTCAGGGTTCCAGAGCCATATCTTCTTCCCTGTATCTGCAGTAGAGATCAACACAGTTTAAGAAGAGAGGGGGCTTGGTTTAGAAGTTTTGCTCTACCACTGCTGACTGTGAGACTTTGGGCAAGTTGCTTACTTTCTAGAAGAATCAGTTACCTCTTCTGTTAGGTGGAAATGGCACTAACCTTGGTGGTAGTTAGCTAATTGATTGATTTAATGTTTGCTAAATGCCTGTACATAACTGTCTGGTAAATAGTAGTTATTTGTATTAGTCTAGGGGTAGTCTCCATCTGTTAGGATGCTTCGGAACGGTTCTGAATTCATTGATGGGGTGGATGTGGGTTGGAGGAATGGGAGGGTAAGGGAATCTAATCCCCAGTTTGAAGTCTTTGCTACTGTTACCTGAGATGATGTCTCTCAGGGCCACTGAGCACTCGTCCAGGAGGCTGGAATGCCATCTAACTGAAGAGAAATTCGGCGGTTGGAAGTTGAATTACAGCTGTCAGTATTGGTTCCATTCTGCAAATACCCCAGGCTCTCTGTTTATTTCCTTAATACCTGGGAGTCGGTAGACTGTATTAAGTTCCCTTTAGTGCTTCATGTACTAACCAGGCTCTGAAAGGCAACTTTCTCCAGAGTTCTCCTTCCAGGATTGTGTATGTGTGTTTGTGTGTAACAGGGAACATTTAGGGAGAAAGGCTAATAGACAATGGCTAAAATGACAAGTGAAAGTGGCTCAGGTGTGTCTGATTCTTTGTGACTCCGTGGACTGTAGCCCGCTAGGCTCTTCTGTCCAGGGAATTCTCCAGGTGAAATACTGGAGTGGGTTGACATTTCCTTCTCCAGGGGACCTTCCTGCCAGGGATCAAACCTCGGTCTTCTGCATTGCAGGTGGATTCTTTACCATCTGAGCCACCAAAATGGCAGAAGAGGCTTTAAATCCAGTCAGTTGTTCTGGCTGTTAATACTGAGAGAAAGAGTAGGCTCTGTTGTGAAAATGCAATTTCTCTAAGAGAAATGATTAAAAAAAACCAAACAGTGGACAGGGCCTAGGTCATTGTAGAGGCCAGATGATATTAGATCACAGAGATTTAAAATTCTAAAGGATTTTAGGTTTTATCTCCTTCCTTTTTGCCTGACAAAAATGTTTGTTCTTATTCCTAAACTGGAGGACCACTTGTTTGACCAAGTTCCCGTAACAGTATCGGGATGGGGGAAAAGGAAAGGAAAAGTGTTCTTCCTTTTGGACAACGGAGGATGAGTTGGTTAGATGGCATCACTGACTCTATGGATGTGAGTTGGAGTAAGCTCCAAGAGTTGGTGATGGACAGGGAAGCCTGGCGTGCTGCAGCCCATGGGGTCACAAAGAGTCGGACACGACTGAGCAACTGAACTGAACAGAACTTTTTGCCTGAGGGCTCCCCTGATAGTTCAGTTGGATGTGACTGAGTAACTTTCACTTTTTTTGCTTGAGGTCTTTTATTAAAACCCTTTCAAAATGACATTTAACCTTATCTTAGTTAAGGTCAAAGGACCCCAGGAAGATGGTTCCTTGCAACTCTGTGTCTGAATGTATTCATTATTTGTAACTCCATATACCAACAAAAAATGCTTATTATGATACTGAATTATTCATTAAAAAAAACTGTAATAGGTACTGTTATGCTCAATGGGCATAAATCTCTCAAAACAGCCCTTTTTCATCTTATAATCAAAGGGACGGTTTTTACTGTCAGCCCAACCAGTGATAGTTTTAATGTTTGTTCTTAAACTGGAGGGTCACATATTTGACCAAGTTCCCTTAAGAGTATCAGGATGGAGGAAAAGGAAGGTAAATATGTTCTTAAATGTCAAGGACTAAAACTGCGAACAGGTTGAACTCCAAGGAACAGAATGAGTTATTCTCTTGGAATTGTACGTATTCTCAATTAATAGATCCCTGGCCAGAATTTGACAGTCTTTTTGTTGTATAAAAAGTGATTTTAGATTAAGATAGATTTTTCAGATGAAAATCGAGAGGGAGAAAATGAAGACAACAGTGGAAATATCTAAAGGGTGCTGAATAATTTGCAACATGAAATCATTTCAGAAGCTGTACATGATTTGTATCTGGTGGATGCTCAGTATGTATATGAAGAATTGAGTAATTAGGATAGAATTTTCCCTGTAAGACTTAGAAGTCCCTTGTAAACATATCTTATAATTGGCCTATTGTGTATTTCTAAATATGTGACAGCATTTTCTAAATATATTTGGAAGATGGAACATAAGTTTCATTTTACTGGGGTATTGTTATCCATTTTTGTTTAACCAGTATTTAGATATTATTGTTTTTTATATATGATATGAATTTAAAAACATAACTGTTCATTTGGTTTGATAGTATTTAGGGTATAGTTTTTACCTAAGATGCAAGCGTTCACTGTGCCTGTATAGTGTTAATATGATTTAAAGACAACAAATGTGGCTACATAATTCTTTTTTTTTTTTTAAGCAGTGCAAAAAAGGGACCAGTATTTCAGAAACAACCTTAATAGGAGCAGCTGCCTCTACCCTGACCTCTTCTCAAAACGATCCAGAAGTTATCATCGTGGGATCTGGTGTCCTCGGCTCTGCTTTGGCCGCAGTGCTTTCTAGAGATGGAAGAAAGGTGACGGTAATTGAGAGAGATTTAAAAGAGCCTGACCGGATCCTTGGAGAATTTCTGCAGCCAGGTGGTTATTATGCCTTGAAAGACCTTGGTCTTGAAGGTAGGTTCCTAGTGATTTTTAGGAGTTATTGTGGTATAAGCAAGCAGTCTTTGCTATGACTGGTAAAAGGGTATTCCATTTTATCTTCATGTGTAAAGGTTACACATTTATCAACAAATTTTCATGAAAACGAAAGCAAAGGAGAAGATAAGCCTGAGGAAACATGAAGTAGCCTTTGTGAGATAAAAGTGGCTAAAAAATTGTAATGGTCAAAGTTGAAGACTGGAAAACTTCAACTTGGAATGAGGAATGAAATTTAGTGAAAGGTGAAGTGAACTGTCATTTGTAGAGTGCATGTGATGTACCTGTTTTAGAACCTTTTATTTAAGGATCATTCATCCATTAATCCAGTGCTTTTTAAATACTCTTCATTTAGGAAGTAGTTTTGCTGTTTGCTTTGTATGAGGTGCTATACTGGGTGCCAAGGATAAACTGGCGAATAAGACAGATCAGTGATCCAGTCTTGGGGTTCAGAGTGCAAAATAGGTCCGGGAATTGAGAGAGAGCTTGCTTGTTATTTAGGGTGGGCATGATGTTGTAGTAATTACCAGCATTGATTCTGGCACTAGATTGCCTGACTTTGAGTACAGCTTAGGTGCTTAAAAAGCTGTGTGATCTTGGCTAAGTTACTTAACCACCTGTGTGTTAAGTTTTTTGCTGTTGTTTAGTCTTTAAATCTGACTATTTGTGACTCCATGGACTGTAGCCTGCCAGGGTCCACTGTCCATGGGATTTTCCAGGCAAGAATACTAAAGTGAGTTGCCATTTCCTCCTCTAGGGGATCTTCCTGACCCAGGGACTGAGCATGTGTCTCCTGCTTTGGCAGGTAGATTCTTTACCTCTGAGCCACCAGGGAAATCTCTATTAGTTTACTCATCTGTAAAAGAGGCACATTTAGAGTCCTTGACTCATAGGTTATTAAGAGAATTAATTGAATTAAAGCATAAAGATAAAGCAGTCAGAACAATTCCTGGTATGTATTAAGCACTATGTAAATGTTTGCTATTTTATTCAGTGTACTGAAGAGGAGACCAGTGTAGTCAGAAAGTATTGGGTAATGGGGAAAGGAGCAGGACTTGAGATTGAGATTGGAGAATTAGGCAGCTGCTAGTCCTGCAGGACTTTGAAGGCAGTGGAACAGGAGTATGACAGGATCCTGTTTATGCCTCCAAAGGCTTCAGACCTTTGAGAGCTCTTCACAATGACGAACACTTCTTATATCCTGACTCAGTACCTACATGTGTGCATGCTCAGACATGTCCAACTCTTTGCGACACTATGGACTGTAGCCCGCCAGACTTCTCTGTTTATGGGATTCTCCAGGGAAGAATACTAGAGTGGGTTGCCATTTCCTGTTCCAAGGGATATTCCTGACCCAGGGATTGAACCAATGTCTCCTGCATCACAGGTGGATTCTTTACCCACTGAGCCACCTGAGAAGCCACTCAGTACCTACATACATTCCTAAATCTAACTGAGATTTATTTTGCTTTTTAAATACTCGCATGATTTTACCCAAGTCTACAATTCGCAGCTTGAAATTTCATTTCACAGTTTACCATTGAATCACATCCTGCACTTAAAAGTACTTAAAAGCCACAGCAGTAATGGAGACCAGCTAAGGAGAGTGTGTACTTTTCTAGGATGCTATTTTGAAAGAATATGTGGATGTTGTGTGGTGAATAGACTACAAGACTGTGGTGGTGGGGTGGCAAGAGTCAGTGCAAGAAGTCTAGTGGGAGCTCATCGCCAAGTCCAAATGGCATATGATGGTGGTTTGGACTAGCACGTTAGCAGAGAATGTAGAGAGAAGTGGACAGGTTCGTGACCAAATAAAAGACAGGAATGGCTTGACTTAGTAAAGGATTGGTGTGAGGTAGAGAAGACAGGGTATTAAAAAGTGATTCTTAGTGTTTTGATTTGACCAGCTGGAAGATGCAGTGTAAGAAAACCTAGAAAGGGACCAGCACTGGAGGAAGTTGGGGACCCATGGAGATAGACACGCAGACTGTTTAGTTGAGAATATGAGTCTCAAGTGCAGAGGAACGAGTGCTTTGAGCTGGCTGGTGTGGGTATTTCAGAGATGTCAGCATGTTTGTAGTACTTAAAAGCCACAGCAGTGATGGAGACCAGCTAAGGAGAGTGTGCAGGAAAAAAAGAGAAGACAGAATAAACCAAGTCCTGGGAAACTGATATTTAGAAATTGGGTGGAAGAAGAGAAGCTTGCTGGAGGACGGAGAAGGAGCCTGCAGAATGACAGGAAAGAGCCGGGAGAGTTTGGTGTCCTTAATCCAACAGAGGAAAGTGTTTCTCGCAGGAGGGGATGGGTACATATCAAGAAAGGAAAGGAGCCATGTCATGGTTTGCTAATGAAGGGTCAGGTCAGAACAGTGCGTAGGAAGTGCGATGGGATTCGGCTATTTGGAGGTTGCCGTGGGACTGACAAGGTGTTTTGGTGGAGTTGTGTAGACGAAACCTGGACTGAAGTGAATGGGAGATGAAAAGATTTGAGGCTAGAAAACTACTCTCAAGGAGTTTTTCTCTAACAGAAAACAGAAACAGGGCAGAGGTGACATGTAGATGTGAGGATACAGGAGGGGTGTTTTGATACTAGATAGAACAGGTTTGTGGGGTAACAGAAGATCAGGTTGGGAGGGAGGTGACTAAACGGGTAACATTCATTCTTTCATTTAATGTATCTATTAAGTATCAGCTATATTGTAAGTACTGTTCTGGGTGCTGAGGCTACAGTAGTGAACAAAACAGATTCCAGCCCTCACAGAGCATACATTCTAGGTGCTCCTGTAGAAGATGGTGATAAAAGATGAATAAATAAAATTTAGAGTATATATTATGGTTATAAGTGCTTCAGAGAAGAGTCAGAAATGAGAGATAGGGAGTGTACTTCAAAATGATGCAGCGGGTGGGGGAAGGGAAAGCCTCACTGAGACGGTGATGTTTGAGGAAAGGACTGAAGGGAAGGGGTAGGAGAGCCCTAGGGCTGTCTGGAGGAAGAGAAGCTCTTTCCAGGTAGAGAGAGCATCACGGGGTGAAGCCTGATGGGGAGGAGTGAGCCTGTGGCTTCTTTGAAGAGCAGGAAAGGAGAATTGTGTTGAATTGAGTGGTTTGAGTTGGAGTTAAGGAGAATGGAGACTGGATTCCCTGTTGGCCCACTATGTGGATTAGACTTTTATTCCAAAGGGAAGCCACTGGAGAATTTCAAGAAGAGGAAGTTACTAGATTTCACGTCTTACAAGTATGATTAGAAATCTTGTTTTAATGTATTCTTGTTAGTGTGTAGAAGAAAGACTAGATCATGAAGCGGCAAGTCAGCAGCAGGGAGACCTGTTAGGAAGTTATTGTGGAAACAGTGAGAGCTGATGGCTTGGACCAGGGTCATGGCCGTAGTGGTGGGGGACGTGGTCACATTCTGGGAATATATTTGGAAGGAAGAGTCAGTAGGACCTGCTGTTGCTGGATGAGATGTGAGGGGTGTGAGAAAGAGAGGAGTCGTGGTATTTAAAGAAGGCTAGATGGCGTTGCCGAGAAGAGGCCCAGGACGACTCCTGGGGTACTCTAAGGGAGAGAGGTCAGTGAGACCAGGAGCCGAGTAAGAGGACTGAGACTGAGAAGGGGCAGGTAGAGAGGAAGAGCAAGAGACAGCAGGGCCCCGGGCCCCAGCGGATAGGGTGGATTGTAAAGAAGGGCGGCCCCTTGCCTCTGTCCTTCTGTGTTCTCTAACCACCACCCTCCATGAGAGGGTCACCAGAGACAGGTGGGACAGTACCCTGAGGCGGATTTTGTCAGCTTTATCGTTGACCGTCAGGCGTGAATTTGATGAGGATGCCATCTTTCTGCCTGCCTGGTTAAGAAAGTGAAAGTGCCAAAGTCTATCATATTTGATTTCACCAGTCAAATTGTGAGAGGCAGATGTTTCAAATCTTAAATTAGACCTTATTTATATACTTAAGATAACTTACCCAAGGAAAATTTTACTGTGCCACTACTGTCTACTTTTCACATGTTCTGGTGTGTTCTAAATTGGCCAAATTTAGCACTTAGAAGTTCTTCCATAATATGAGTTAAGAAAAATAAGCTTATTTCAGTAGCTGGACAAAACAAAAGTGGAAATACTAGATGGGTTTCAAACAGGTAGGCCGGTAAAGATTGGCAGTTTGCCGAGATCCAAATTGAATACACTGCTAATTGGCAGCTTCTGTGATACCTGTGTACTTTTCTCTGATTGAATTTTAGCTGGAATAATTTAGAAGCCAAACCAAAAAACTAACTTACTTGGATCCTAGGTGGGATGTTTGACAAGTATTCATCCAGCTTGTCCCTGACTAGACTTTAAAGTGTAACTAAAAAGCATATCAGAAAAAAAATGATTTTTTTTGATCTTAGCATAGATGTGTGGTAAAATTGTTTTATTATACAGTTCTCCTTTTCATCAGAAATGAAATCATTTTAATAGACTTAGTCCTCAATATTGTATTTTAATGTATTTGAATATATTTATAGCATGTGACTTTTAAAATACATGCTAAAGTCAACTTGCTCACAGCAACATTTCTAATACTATTATCCATTCTTTGTCATAACTTTAAGCCTGTTCATAGTATTTTCTCAGTTAATACTTTATAATGTACCCTAGATGGATTACAAGACTAATATTACATTAAAGGGTGCTAACTTCTTCTTGGTTCTTGATAGTTGTTGCCGTGCTTATTTTCTGAAATGTTATTAGTTTATGATATGACCAGTAATATATACAATTTATCCATTTTATCATTATTTCACCAGTAACTTTGATAGATTTGGTGTCTTCTTGTTTCAGTTTTATTTCATTGATTTTTTTTTTAAATCAAGTTTTGAACATTGTTTTCCTGACATATTCAATGTTTCTTTGTAGTATGAATCATCTCTGTACATTTTCCCTGTTATCATTAGAGTCTGAATATTTTTCCTATGAATTTTAATGAATAAATTTTATATGTAAATATTTACCTTTTATGATATCACAAATTTGCTAAGACTGTTGTCTTCCAGAAGCATTAAGCTTTCTGAAATAGTTCTGTTAACGTCCAGTCCTCCAAATGGTGTTGTAGCTTTATGAACACAGAAACTCATTTACCACATCCGTGTCCTTTTGGTGATTAGTGTAACTCTGGGCATATTACAAAAAACTGACTTTTTTTTTAAACTGTGTTGTTTTGCAGATACAGTGGAAGGTATTGATGCCCAGGTTGTAAATGGCTACATAATTCATGATCAGGAAAGCAAAACAGAGGTTCAGATTCCTTTCCCCCTGTCAGAGAACAATCATGTGAGGAGTGGAAGAGCTTTCCATCATGGAAGATTCATCATGCGTCTCCGGAAGGCAGCTATGGCAGAGCCCAAGTAAGGCTCAGCTTCCAATACCTGATGTTAAACTGTTATACTGTTAAATACTGTTTTATACATTTTCATAAGTGTTTGAGTATAGGTTAGAGCATAGCTGTTGTACTAGAATAAACCATAAGTTAGAAGAATGTCAGTTCTTCAGCCTTTGTTAAGAATATCATATAAATCATTCGAATGATGAGAACTATTGAGAACTTTCCTATGACTCAATGTGTGATTTTTACGTGGTTCAAATTGAGAGGATGTAGTCATTGTAATTAAGGTTTAAGTTCATATGTACCCATTTGGGAGTTGGAGTTTGTGGTTATGGTGCTTTTTATTAAAAGTCGGGACAGAGGAGTTAAAAGAGAAAATCCCTGTTGCATTCATACTAAGGACTTGGACTGACAGGACTGGCTGGGTGTCCCTCTCTCTCTTTTTTTGAGTTATAATTGATATACAATAGTATGTAAATTACAGATGTACAGTATAGTGATTGACAGTTTTAAAGGGCTTCTTCTTTTAATTATTAACTTATATTTACTTCTAGCCCTGTACACTATAATTGTGATTTAAGTTTTAAACATGAGAATCCTCATGTCATCGACAAAGGCTTGAAAGTGAAAGTACAAGTTGCTCAGTCGTGTCCGACTTTTTGTGACCTCATGGACTGTATAGTCCATGGAATTCTCCAGGCCAGAATACTGAAGTGTGTAGCCTTTCCCTTCTCCAGGGGCTCTTCCCAACCCAGGGATTGAACCCAGGTCTCCTGGATTGCAGGTGGATTCTTTACCAGCTGAGCCAGAAGGGAAGCCCAAGAATACTGGAGTGGGTAGCCTATCCCTTCTCCAGGGGATCTTCCTGACCCAGGAATTGAACTGGGGTCTCCTGCATTGCAGTCAGATTCTTTACCAACTGAGCTATTGGGGAAGCCCTGCTAAAGGCTTAAATCCTTAATGTTGGCTTAAATGTTGACAAAGCAAAAGGAGAAATGAATTGATTATTCTTAGAACTTGAAGAATTTGATATCTATGAAAGTAGAATATATTCATTTTAGAAAAATAGAGAAATACTTAAAAATATAGAGGAGATTGTAAAAATTATCTATGATCCTTCTAACTAGGAGTAACTACTCAGAAAAATTTGAATAAATTCCAATTCTGTGTATATTCATCAACACAACAAAACTTTTGTATGTAAAATTTTTCTGCATGTATTTTATTTTTTAATGAATTGAGATAAAACCTCATGTTACTTTTTAAAAATGCTTTTCTGAAAAGTCATTACATTAATTACATACATTCCATCTTAAAAAATTAGAAAATTATAACCCCACCTAATTCTAAAACCCATTGATGTTTTTGCTTTTCGTCATTCCAGCCCTTTTTCTATGTACATGTGTGTCCAGTTTAGGGTACACTGGAGATAGGGAAAAGGAATTTTTCATTCCATGTTTAAATTTTTCAGTTGTGCTACCAGAGAATTTGTTTGTTTATCTTTTAGTGCAAAGTTTATCGAGGGCACTGTGCTGCAGTTACTAGAAGAAGATGATGCTGTGATGGGAGTTCAGTACAAGGATAAAGAGACTGGAGACATCAAGGTGAGATGTAGCAGATATTTGCCTTTCCTGAGAGATTTTTATTTTCTTTTTCTCCTACTCCTTTAAGAGAAGTAGGCCCACAAGTTTATTATTCATCAAATGGACTGAGATCTCTCCAAACTCTGCGCTAGATTGCAACACATTGTTCTTTGGGGCACTGCAGAATGCTGTTCAAATAACTCTGGAAACAAACTCCGTGATGTTAGCTGTGTTAAAAACTGAAGTGAGAAGTGTACCCTAGCGGAGAGGGAACTGGAAGATGCAAAAAGGAAGGATTCAGCATGAAAGAAATAATGAGAATAAAATAAACTATTGTTGAAATAAGAAAGGCAAAAACTAAGAGACTCTCTGGGGAAATAGCTGAATAAAATAGTTTCCAGTATTTGCTTGTGTTGGTTTAGAACAGAGGAGAAAGTCAAAAGCTTATCTGTTGATTCTTTCATAGGGTAATTACCTCCTAGGAATTACACTCTAATGGGGGCAATTGCAAGGTAATGTAAGTATATACATCCATGTGTACAAAAAGTCTTCGGAGCCATAGCCATTGATTGAAAGCACTATGTGGGGTTAAAAAATTCTAGAATAAAAGAATGTGGCTAGTCCTTGGGATTTGTAATGTGGTTCAGTTTTCTATGGGCTCTGCTTGCTTGTCATAGTTTCCCCCAGTGTCCATCGAAGTGACTTAATCCCAGGTGGTTTGGAATGGTAGGACTTTGGTGGAAGGTGATCTCAAGGGGAAGAGTCTTTAAAGATGGGTCATTCATTAACCTCAGCCCACATGAGAGCTCCTTCAATAGCATTATCTTTGGGTACTCTATAATGTCCCATAATGTGTTTAAATTTGTTTATGTACACTTTAAAAGAACAGTCTTTTCACTGTGTATTTCTCACCATTTAGCTGAGTGTTCTTTGTTTTTGTTGTAGGAACTCCATGCTCCATTGACTATTGTTGCAGATGGACTTTTCTCCAAGTTCAGGAAAAACCTGACCTCTAATAAAGTTTCCATTTCTTCACATTTTGTTGGCTTCCTTATGGAGGTATTGTAGAAATGCAATTGTAGAAGATAAAAGCAACTTGAAATTTGCAAGTTATTAAAAATATTTTATTTATTTTCCTAGAATGCACCGCAGTTTAAAGCAAATCATGCTGAACTTATTTTAGCTAACCCAAGTCCAGTTCTCATCTACCAAATTTCACCTAATGAAACTCGAGTACTTGTGGACATCCGAGGAGACATGCCAAGGAACTTGAGAGAATACATGACTGAAAATATCTACCCACAGTTACCTGGTAAGAAGTAGTGTTTCACTGCCATTGTAATCTAGTCTGTAAGCAAGTCTCACAAAAGACTCTCCATCTCCAATTCTCACTAAAGCTTTGTCTAAACGAGGTTGAAAGATGAGAATGGCAGCTGAAAAATTTCATCTAATTAGTCAGATACAGTGGAGCTGAATAAACTATTTAAACTAGTACATAAAAAAATCTCCACAAGTCAAGAAAATAGTTTCAATGTATTTTTTCATAGTAATAATAAAAGTGTAGTTTTGTGAGTAATCATTAATAGTGGCATATATGGTATTTTTTAAGGTAGTCTGGATAGCAGTCTAGATAGCTGAATTCTTGAAATATCTCTTATACATAATTACTTTTTGTGCTTGGTTTTTGTAGAAATGATAGCTGCCATCTATTGATTGTCTACTATGTAAGAGGTGTTTTATAAACATAATTTAATCTACACAACCACCTGAGGTAGGCATTATCATGATCCCCATTTAGCAGATGAGGGGACTAGGATTCAGAGAAGTTAATTAGCTTCTCCAAACATAAACCTTTAGTAAGGGGCAGAGCCAAGGTCAAAAGCAGGTCTGTGTGCTCATATGTCCCTGCCCTGGGAACACAGGGGCTCTAAGATCTTTTAGTTTTGAGTTGAGTACAGAAAGGCTTCATGAGATTTCAGACATCTTTGTTAAACACTCATTAAAATTATTTTTTGAGAATGGGAAGATGTAAGAAAGACATGTAAAAAAAATTATTAAGAATATTGATAAAATTGAAAGGAAAACTCTGCTTGCCAATTATGATTATAGCAATAGCAGATTATCCTGGATGTGAGTACAGTTGTTTAAATATTCTGGTTTTTCAAGTTAGTTTTTAAACTAAGGAATATTATTTTTTAAACTAAGCAAAAGCACCATTTACAAAATATCAGTAGAAATTAAGGTACACATGGACCAATTTAGATTTTTAATAATGACATTTTCAGCACTTCAATACATTTTCACTCAGTTAAGCCATTTTGAAGCTTTCAGATGGAAAGAATGAGTTATGTGTATTTAGTAAGAGGATAATTAATAATGTATTTTTAGCATTTTTTTCTTTTACTGTATATTGTTTTTTTCCCCAAGTCCAAAGCATAGCTGGAGAAGACTGCCTTGTGATCAGGGAGAGAAACATTTGAAGGTTTATGTTCATATTAGTTAGGTTATGGAAATTCTATTCATTGGAGGAAGGGAATAGTTTCAACACAGTCATTCAGCTCTTGTATTCCCAGATTACAATGGAAATTGTATGAAAAGCAAGTTCATTTTCTATAAAGTGGAAGCATGAAACTTTGGTACTTTCCTGGGATGTATCACAGAGATGAACTAATCTGTTTCATTCTAGATGAAGAAACTAAAAACTCCTCAGAGAGATAGTTCTCTCTACATTTTACCCTTTTTTTTTTTTTTTAACTGTACACATACCCTCCTGTTGTTTGTGAATTGGTGGCATATTTCATCTGTTCTTATAGAATATGAGAATAAAATAGGTGTTAAATATATACCTGTTGGTAATCATTTGGAAGAAAGGTGGGTGGTTTTTCTCCTTGTCTTATCATCTCATCTGGATTTGCTTCACTCTTCCTCTAGGTTTTTGTTCATACAACTCTGTATCTATTTATATTGATTTTTGCTTAGATTCCTTAGCCATCCCTTAGCAGGAACAACTGTGTGCTTAAACAGTTTGTTATTAATTAGTTCTTGATTTACCACAAGGGATATTTTTAACAACCATCACAGATGTGTAGTATGTATTTGTGTATACTTGATAAGAATATGTGATAATTTGAAATTGGAATGTTATAAACCATTTATTTGGTGGGGCGGGCTTTATTGCAGATCACCTGAAAGGACCATTCCTAGAAGCCTCTCAGAATTCGCGTTTGAGATCAATGCCAGCAAGCTTCCTCCCTTCTTCACCAGTAAACAAACGAGGTATTATCTTATTGGACCAACTTTATAAAAGATATTCCAAATATTCTAATTCAGTATTCCAAATGACATGTATGTGGTACAGAAAATAGATTATTGTAATTAGTGCATACCAAAATTAGTTTTATGATATTTATTACTTAGTATTGAGTATACGGTCACTGTTCGAGTTAATGAAAATAAAATTAAGTATAGTCCTTAATCTAGAGAAGGCAGTTTTCCAGTGAAAGATGTAAATAATTTCAGAACACTGCTGATAAATGCTGTTATGAAAGCCTACTCTTGGTACCACAGATTCACTGTGAAGGAGTGGGACGTACAAGGCAGGGAGCAAGCCTGTGGATTGGGAAGGGTAATTAGGGAAGACGTTGCTCTGGAGACACAGCTGGACAGTGAGATGAGGGACTTCTGAGTAGGCAGAACAATACCTGCAAAAGCCAGCTTGGCTGAGAAATGGTGGCACTTAAGTAGCTCCCTAGACCCCTGGAGCATAGGAGAGGTGGCAGAGTGGTAGAAAGTTAAGATGCGCAGTTTTAATCCTATAGACAGTGCAAAGTCACTGAAAAGTTCTTTTTATGTTTACAATATCCTTATTGAGAGATAATTCACAGATCACATAGTTCACTCATTTAAAGTGTACAGTTTGTTGGTTTTTAGTGTATTCATAGGTCCCTGGAGCCATCACCACAGTCAAGTTTAGAACGTTTTTAATCATGCTGGAATGAAACCATGTAACCATTAGTAGCCGCTGCTCACATCCTCCCAAACCACCATTAATTTACTTTCTGTCTCTATAGATTTGCCTGTTCTGGACATGCCCTATAAATGTGATCATACAGTGTCATCCTTTGTAACTGGCTTCTTGGAGGTTCATCCGTGCTGTAACATGCATCAGTCTTTCATTTGGTTTAACGGCCAAATACTACTCCGTGCGTGGATATGTTACATCTTGACTGTCTATTCATCAACTGATAGACATTTGGATTGTTTCCACTTTTGGTTCATACCTGTGTATGAGTTATTATGTGGACATTTATTTTCATTTTTCTTGGTTATATTCCTAGGAATAGAATTGCCGGGTCCTAGCTCTCTCTAATGCTTTGAGCAACTGCCAAACTGTTTTCCAAAGTGGTTGACCATCCTCCATTTCCATTAACAATATATGAGGGTTCCAATTTCTCCACATCCTCGGCAACATTTATTCGTATCTGTCCTTTTGCCATAGCCACCCTAGAAGGTGTAAAGTAACAATAAAAGTGGAAGGTAGAGAAACGGTTTTGGTAAGATCTATGATGTAGCATGCATGAAACTCAGTGATTAATGGTAATAAGGGAGAGCGAGGTTTCTTGATGGATTCCAGGTTTCAGGCTTAGGTATTTTGCCAGCTATTTGCTGACACTGGACTTAGGGAAGTGTGGGGAGATAATGAGTTCATTTTTGGACACAGTGATGTGACGGCTGGGAGGTTATTTGAGTGGCCAAGTGGAGGCCCACTGAAAACAGGAGTGTGGAGCCTGGAGGAGAGGTGTGAGCAAGAACTGTCGATATACTGTGGTTCCCGAACATAAACAGCTGTTGTTTGCTATGGAGAAACATGTATCATAAATTGCCAGTCATAGCAATAAACTAGAATGCAAAGCAGAATGAAAGCCAGTGCCGAACTGATACGAAGAGCATGCTTTGGGAACATATCCCAGTTGGTGGAATTGGGAATGTTCCGTGGAGGAGGAGGAATAAAAGCTGGTTATAGCTAGTGGTTTCTAGTGAAGGTATTAGACTAATGCATAAAAAAACTTGGGTGAAAATTTAGAAACTACTTTTTCATAAATTAATATATGTGTATTCTATAATTAGATAGTATATTGTGACATTACAGGAAGAAATTATCCGTAATTCTGCCACCTTACCACTTTTACTATGATTGTTTTATTTCTCTCAGAGAGAAAATTAAATACATGCTTTGTTTAACTGTCCCTCTGAGTCATGGGTCATGAGCCAGGCTGGCAGTGGGTGGGAATCTTAGAGTCAGGACTGTAATCAGGAGGAACTGTACCTCGAGTCAGATTGCAGAGCTTACTGCTCTGTGGTTTTGATGCAAGGGGCTGGTTTTCAGCTAAGCTTCAATCAAGGTTTATTCTTCTAAACTTCTTATGTGTTTGGAATATCTGCATTTTCCCTTAGAACCATATAGATCTCTATAATATGTGGGCAGTAAGTATTACTGTGAAATGTCAACAAATTCTTGATTTTTTTTCCCTTGTAAAAGACTTGCTTTTTACACATGGATGCCTGTACATTGCTTTTTTTTTTTTTTTCATGAAAGAGGCCTTACACATATTTTGACATTGTCTCACTGAACCTTAGATTCACTTGTGAGTTTTTGAGGGCAGGGATCACATTCCTGTTCTCACTGTATCCCTAGCATCTGGCACATATTACTTACCTAACAAATAGTAATTGAATCAACTCTTGAATTTTTGCCTGAGTAAATTTTAGTTGTGGTTTAGTATTAGTATTTTAATTGGTTTAGTATTTAGTATTTTCACATTCTAATTTACTAGCTGACATTCATAGTTTATAAATTATTAATAGGTTTTTTTTTTGGAGGGGGGGGTGTTGTTTTTTGTTTTCTTTGGATCTTAAAGGATGCTCCAGGATGATGTCATGATCTAAGTTCTCTTTTTACAGGTGTTCTTCTTTTGGGAGATGCATACAATATGAGGCATCCTCTTACTGGTGGAGGAATGACTGTTGTTTTTAATGATATAAAACTGTGGAGAAAATTGCTGAAGGGTATCCCTGACCTTTATGATGATGCAGCTATTTTCCAGGTAAGATATTCTTTGACAAAAATGTCTCAAAATACATTTCTTTCTGGGGCCTAAGATGAATGGGACTTTGCAGAGGAGATCTGTACCTGGGAGCATGGTCCTTAGTAGTGATTCTTAAACAGTCTTGTTCAGGATTGAGAACATGAGTTGCAACCTGTGAATCTTCTAGAATTTCTGGTTTGGAGATTACATGGGTCACTTAGCCTCAGAGATGTAACTCGTTCCTCTGGAGATTTTTACTTTTTTGATGGGAGTGTAAATGTTGAACAAGACATAATTTCTAGTAGATAGTCCTCAGGGTATCAGTTTAAGGGATTATAAACATTAGTTTGTGCTTTTTTTTTTTTTTAAACCCTTACCATATAATAGGTGATCTTTCTCTTTTTTAGGCCAAACAATCATTTTATTGGACAAGAAAAAAGTCTCATTCCTTTGTTGTGAATGTTCTTGCTCAGGCTCTTTATGAATTATTTTCTGCCACAGATGGTAAGTGCAGCTATTTTTGAATGACTGTTACTGAATTATAGATTTTTAGCAGAGGAAGGGAACTGAATTACAAAAAGTTAGTGATTAGGCCAGAAATAGAAATGTTTCCTGAGTTTGCCAACTTCCAAGTCGTTAAGTCCTTTTTAACTCCATCCTTGAGCACAATTTTGACTAATCATCATGTATCCACCACTGTGTGTGGGAGGCCGTTGCCTCTAAGACAACCTTAGTAACAGTACCTCAGTCATGTGTCATTATTCATTCCTCTGGTCCACATCACATCACACGTTTCCCAAATGCATAAGATTGTGATGGAAGACCTTTCTGACTGTGAATTAAAGGGCAAGGTAGTGTTAATCCTTTTTCTTCCCAGACAGTAGTTCAATTTCTTTTCGAAACAGTATTTTGTAAAATGAAAATGAGCTTCGTTTCAAACCTAGGTTTTTGTCTTCTATTAAAATGCACAAGCAGAAGGTATCCACCTTTTACTCACGTGAAATATTCCCACTTTACTACTATAAGGCTTTTGTTTTTGTTTCTGTATGGTGATGGTCAGTCTCACATGAAGGAAAACATGAGTTAGCAGAAACAGGGCTAGAGATGGAGGAAAACGTCACCTGTGCCACTTCCCAGCCGTGGCCATGTACACGTTAGTGAAACGAGGCCTTTAGGTTTCCAAGAATAAATGTAACTCCCAATACAAAATAAAAAGTTTTTTTTTTTTTTAAATAACATAACTCTAATCCCATTACCTCAGGTATTTTTAATACAAGAAAGCTATTTCTGTGACCTGGCTGGGGCGCTAGTGATCCTTGCTTTGGTGATCTGATTACCAAGGGTGACAGAGTAAGAGTGCAGCCCCTCTAACCGTCATTCTTGGTAAAGGAAAAGACAACGTGTTGTGATTTGCCAGGCAAATCTCTCTTGCTAGTTGATCATGAAGTTACAGTGACTGGTTGGGCAAGAAGAGAACTAAATTTGGAGTTTTTCTAAGCTCTTCTTTCTGAGCTTTTCTCAGCTCTTGAGTTTCTTAGAGTTTGAATCCACCCATAAAACAACAGAGCTATGAGATACTGAAGGAGGAATGGGCTTTATTGGAGTAAAAGTTTACCTGTTGTAATCTTTTTTACCTGTTGTAAAGAATAATTGAGGTATACTTGAAGAACATTAATTCTATACTATTAAAAAAGGTTATTGATTATACTATGTTGTGAGGGTTTAATGAATTATTTTGAAAAATATAATAAAACTGTACAGATATAAGGCATTATTATTCACTCCATAATTTACTGCTCAGATATACGCACTGGGCATCTTAGAGACCATCATTCTGGTTTCTAGAATTGTGTTTTTGTAAGAAAAGAATGTACAAAATATTTGACATCACTTAATGAATTTACAACACAATCAAGGAGATAGCTTTTAAATAACTCGTAATTTCCAAGGCCTACATGTTTAGTAATTATTTACTAGCAGAAAAAAGTTTATAGTATAGTAATAGAATTACTATTTAGTCTTCATTATGAAATTGAAAAGAAATCTTGGGTGGCTAAAATGCTAACACTAGATTTTTAAGAAATTAATCTATAAAGGTGTAATAAATGTTACATATTCATTTTTTTCTGACATATCATTAGCACCCCACGTAAATGTATGAGTATTTTGATTGAGAGTAATTTTAAACTTTTATTTTAGATTACCTACATCAACTGAGAAAAGCCTGTTTTTTTTATTTCAAACTTGGTGGAAAATGTGTTGCAGGTCCGGTTGGGCTGCTTTCCGTGTAAGTTGTTCTGACAACACAGAGGAAACAGATACTCCAGATTTTCTTAGGACTGTGGTTTATGCTGCACTTGCTTAGTCACTCAGTCGTGTCCTACTCCTTGCAACCCCAGGGGCTGTAGCCCACCAGGCACCTCTGTCCGTGGGGAGTCTCCAGGCAAGAATACTAGAGTGGGTTGCCATTTCTTTCTCCAGGGGATCTTCCCGACGCAGGGATTGAACCTGCCTATCTTATGTCTCCTGCATTGGCAGGCAGGTTCTCTACCACTAGTGCCACCTGGGAAGTTTGGTTTATGAATCACTGCTAATCCCTCTACCTGCTGCATGTCATCATTTTATTATTGATTAGTATCCCAATCAAAATGTTCCCAGAGAAATGAAAAAAGGCAGTATTCAATCCTGCGTTTTAGTTCTGGGCAACAGTGTTGATCCTGAGTTGGTGAGTAGATGAGGCTAAAACCCTTGATTAAAAGAGCAGCTTGTTTTTTTGCCTGTGGGCTTATGGCCCTGACCTGATCTATGGGGACCATGAATAATAAGAGTTTATATTTAACATTGAATTCTACTTAAGTGTGGGACTCATGAAACTCAGTTCTGATGGTGCAGACATATGTAGAATTATTCTTGGAAAGTCTGCAAAGTGAAATTCCTTAAGGCTTTTCTCCTTTGTCCACTTTCTGAGTGTCAACACTGTTACCTTTGGAAAAACCGAGATTCCATAGGCCAGGCTACTTTAGGCTGAGATCTCAAGATTAATGAAAGAAAACAGTTCAGGAGGTACAATTCATATAAACTAAGATAAGTTACTGGCTTCTCTGACAGGAGTAAAGTCTAAGCAGTTTCTTGTAAGAAAAAATGTTTTAATTTGTCCCTTGACCAGCAGATACAAGCTTGTAAAGTCCCCTAAAATGTTGAGTGTATATTTACCTTTATAGATGATACACAATTGGAATCTCTTTATGAGTCCGTTTTCATTTTGGGGTCTTAATTATATGTATTTTTTCCCATTACAGATTATCTCCCAATCCTCTGGTTTTAATCGGACACTTCTTTGGCGTTGCAGTCTATGCCACCTATTTTTGCTTTAAATCGGAACCTTGGATTACAAAACCCCGAGCCATTTTCAGTAGCGGTGCTGTATTGTACAGAGCGTGTTCTGTAATATTTCCTCTGATTTACTCAGAAATGAAGTACTTGGTTCATTAAGCTTAAAGGGGAACCATTTGTGAATGAATACTGGGAACTCGCCAAGTCTGCAGTGACTTGGAAGAGAGTGTATATAGCACAGTACTCCTCCCGCTTCTGAAGTGGGAATTCTTGGACCAAGATTGGGATTAATTTGTTTTTGAAGTTATTTTGTATATAAACATACATGTAAATATATACTTTAGTTTGCAATTTCAAATGAAGGGTAAAATAAGATAGATATTTAAAAGAAATGATTGTTACCATAAATTAGTGCTAATATTGAGCTGCAGTTTGTCTTTTGAATTCAGTATTTGGGATGAGTCACTGTGGGACATGCAAATAAAATGAAGAATGAACTCTCATGTCTTTTTGGTTTTTTTGGCCACACCCTGAGGCATGTGGTATTTTAATTCCCCAACCAGGGATCCAACCCGAGCCCCCTCCATTGGAAACGCAGAGTCTTAACCACTGAACCACCAGGCAAGTCCTCTTCTTTTTGTCTGTTGCTGTGGGCTTCTTTATATAACTTCATGAAAAAGAAAACCAAAGTGGGATGGAAAAATGCAGAGGGAAGTCTTTTCTGTTAAATAGCTCTTGACGTTGGGGAAGTTGCCTTAATACATCTGGACCTTATTTTCCTCATGTATCCCTCCATTTCCCCTCACTTATTCAATTGGATAAGGTTCTTTTCTGAGGTCCTGGAAAATGTCACATTCATATAAAAGGGAATCAAGAGCTTTGTATAAATTCTACTGGGTAACATTAATAAGCCAGGCTAGGCTTACTTCAAGGAACAGTGAACAGGGCTGTACGCTGGAGTGTCTACTAGACTGTACACTGGACATACATGAGTGTACAGTGGACTCAACACGACGTACACTGGGTTGTATTGGCCTGTACACTGGCTGTATACGAGTGTGTACTGGACTGTACCCTGGAGTGTATACTAGACCATACACTGGGCTGTACACTGGATGGACATGAGTGTATACTGGGCTGTATACTGAATGTGTATGACTATATTGGACTGTACACTGGAGTGTATACTAGACTGTACACTGGAGTGTATACTAGACCATACACTGGGCTGTACACTGGATGGACATGAGTGTATACTGGGCTGTATACTGAATGTGTATGACTATATTGGACTGTACACTGGAGTGTATACTAGACTGTACACTGAACATACACAGGTGCACACTAGACCATACATTAACTGTACACTGGATGTACACGTGTATACTGGACCATACACAGGAAACATGTTAGCGTACACTGTATTGTATATGACATAAAGTGTACACTGAACTGTACACGGGATTGTACACGACGTACAGCTGACAGTACCCTCAACTGTACAAGGGATGGATGGCACAGGATGTGCACTGGATGGTAGACCGCACTGAATACTGGGATGTACCCTTGGACTGCACACCAGGTGTGCATTGGACTGTACACTAGATATGTCCAGACGTGTCCAACTGTGTCCTAGATGTTTCCAGATGAGCTCCAGCTGTGACCAGCTGTGCATGTGGACTATACACCAGATGTGTCCAGCTGTGCTCCAGATGTGTACTGGACTGTACACTATACACTGGATGTAGACTGATGTATATTCGACTATATTCTGGATGTACACTGGACTGTAAACTGGATTGTAAAGAAAAAACAAGTACCAGCATGATTTTTTTTGTGCATCATGGGCACATATCCTTTAAACATATATATGCAAAATGCCAAGCTCTAATGACTTCAGGATTTAGTTTCTCCTGACTTTTCCTTGAGGCCCAGGTAGACATCAGTCTGTTTTCAATTTCAAGATGCCAAAAAAATTTAAAGGTTAACATGCTTTCATTTTATTACAACTCAAAAGTGACTAATTCTAAATTATATAATGTATGGCTCAAAAACCAAGCACCCCACAACTGAACCTGGTATAGATGTACGTTTTCTACCCATAACTAATATTTTCCAAGGAGAGAGTTTAAACAGTTGTAAAGAAGTTCTCATACAAGTAACAATACTTTTGAATCCCTTGTGTTTCTATCAATTTTCCAATACATGGCCCCAAACTAAAGCCACAGGGGAACAGATGATGTCAAAACTAGTGAACAATGAAAAGATGCTTTCTGTTCGTCTGAAAAAAGGAAACAGTGAGGAACAGATGGGCACTTGCAGTATCTGGCGTAATGCCTCAAAGTCGGTCGGCCTCACTGCTGCTGTTCAGTGACTCCCTTGTGTCGGGCGCTTTGTGACCCCATGGACGGCTGCACGCCAGGCTTCCCTGTCCTTCGCCATCTCCCGGAGCTTGCTTTACTGAGTTTACATTACATCTGAAGAGGTTATGGATATTCAGAAGAGTATCATGAGACTTGAGTAAACCCCCAAATACCATTAAAGTAAATTGTTTCCCTTAAAAGAGCAGTAAAAGATAACCAGAAATATTAAGTGACTACTGCAAATCAGGGCTAAAATGACTTTTAAAGCTTTTATAATTAACATTTCTTTTTCACCTTTTAGAAGTTGAAATTTTCTCAGTTGAGAATTTTCACTTTGCCTTGTTTTAGCAGTGTATGTGGGCTCACTGCTTGGTTTTGTGAAATTTCCCTCTAATTAATCCTACACTTCTATTTTCTGGTTAAAAATACACTTTCTTAGAACTGGCCTTTTTATTAGCAGCTGTCTTTCTTTGCTAATAAAGAAATTCTTTCTTTGGGGGGGAATTTTTCATGGAGAACTAAAGATCTCACTTCATATAGTTACTGTGATTACAAATGAAAAAAGCAAGGGGCTTCCCAGGTGGCTCAGGGGTAAAGAACCCTCCTGCCAACACTGGAGACAAGAGATGTGGTTTAATCCTTGGGTCGGGAAGATCCCGAGTAGAAAGTGGCAACCCACACTCCAGTATTTTTGCTTGGAAAATTTCATGGACAGAGGAGCCTGGTGGGCCACAGTCCATGGGGTTGCAGAGTTGGACACGACTGAATACACAAATATAAGGTAGTTTTGAGACACAGGATGGCCGTGGATTTACTGGCTGAGCTCCCATGTGCCAGCCTCCGTGGGTGAGACTCCCAGACTCCTTACATGCCAGGCAACAGTTCACCTTTAAAATTCCTCCCTGGGTGCTCACCAGGTTGGGCTGATGAAGCTCCCGCTTCCCTCTGCTGACTAGATGCTTTTAAAAAATCCTTTCTACTATGATGGCGAAACAAAGCCTGTCATTTTTTTCTCTTCAGTATCTTAGGATTTGAGACTTTCTGACTGAAGAAATAACTTACCATAAATTGAGAAAACTGAAGGGAACCAGAGGAAATCATTAGCCCTGATTTTACAGATGATGCCAGTAGGCTGCCTTGGGACAAAGTTTAACTAGTGGTGGAGTCGGGACTCAAACTCTGCCTCCTGATTGCAAGTTAATGCTGCTTTTCCTGCACTTGCTAAATGACCGATAAGCTCCACATTTCAGATTTTTTTTTGTTTCGCTTGTTCCTCTCCAGAGGACAGAGCTAACTATGTGGTCAGAGTTAAAACGCCTTCCTTAACTCTTAGCCAAACTGCCACAGGTGGGTGGCCGCTCCCCTCTCAGGGTAATTTTCACGCAGTCATTTAGGATTTCGGGGGAGTTAAAAGGTAACAATGGCTGTTATAAAATTAAGGGGGGGCGTTGTGGGGACTTGGGTGGGCTCCTCAGGGTTTGTTGAGCAAGCAGCAGCTGAAGCTGGGGGGCCCTACAGAAGGGAGGCAGGGAAGCCCTGAGGCGTCTGGGTTGGAAGAGGACACAGCCTCAGACGGGAGTAAACGGCCACGGTATGCGCCCACGGACTGTGTGATCTCTACACCTGGGACCAGTCTCGCTGTCACCACGTGCCTGCCAGCCTGTCATGGGCGTGACCAGGGACCCAACATCGGACCTACCAGGCTCCTTTCTTACCTTCCAGGCAAGGTTTTTTGCTGGGTGAATATGTTGTTTTTGAATAACAGGCAGAAGAATGACTTTAGGTACTGGCAATACTATTTTACTGAAAATCTGGAGTTGCACAAATAGTTCTTTAGAACATAAAACTAAGGGGATTCATACATAACAATTATAGTCAGCATTTATAAGAGGCAGTACAAAAATGTGTTCTCCTTCTACATGATATAAATTGTATATAATACCATGATTTAAACAATATTAATTATATTAACTCGTTCAGTGGATACATCTTACTCAGAATGTCTGACATTTCCCACAAGAAAGGGAAAGCAGTTCTCGAGGTGGGTTTCTTTTCATTTCCAAGTTCATCTTAGTGACGGTGGGAAGATTCAAAGATAATCCTTTCATTGAAGAAGCAGAAGTCAAAAAAAGTTACAGGACTGTTCTGAACTCATCAAAAATGAAATTAGGCACGTGTGCTTCAGCAACCTAAAAAAATGAAAACAAAAGAGTTAACTGTTTCATAGTGTAAGAAGACCAAATTCATCAGCAGTCCCTGGTAATCTGTCCTAGACAAAAACAACATGGAGTGGCGTAATTTTAAAATGAAAATGAAATGCAGAGTAACATGAATATATTAACATATGATACCTATCATATGCTATTATATTGATATGGTATAAAAAAATTTAAAATTTTCCATATGAAAGTTAGAGAGAGGAAGACATCCTTTGGAGCAAGGTGAATCACTGGGAAATACTGGACCATTAATTGAAACCACCATCGTCTTTTTCCGGTATTTCTACCACTGATGTTTAATTTCTTGGCACTGCGGACATCTGAAGGGGTGCAGGACAGTCCCTTCCCTAGCCCCTCCCCGCCCTGCCCCTAGACGAGACGATCCGTTGGCTCTTCAAGGCACTTGGATCTACAAAAATGCACATGCCTCTGGGAGGTACTAAGATTAGTCTCAGGTTATCTCATAATTAACTAACAACCAACTAGGAAGAACAGGACATCTAGTGCTGAAAACTGGTAGTCTTTAAAAACAATGTTTAATTTTTTTCTGACTATAAAGTTTGGTTGAGTTCAGCCGCTCAGTCATGTCCAACTCTTTGCAACCCCATGGACTGCAGCACGCCAGGCTTCCCTGTCCATCACTAACTCCCAGACTTTACCCAAACTCATGTCCATTGAGTCAGTAATGCCATCCAACCAACTCATCCTCTGTCGTCCCCTTCTCCTCCCGCCTTCAATCTTTCCCAGCATCAGGGTCTTTTCAAATGAGTCAGTTCTTCACATCAGGTGGCCAAAGGATTGGAGTTTCAGATCAGCATCAGTCCTTCCAATGAATATTCAGGACTGATTTCCTTTAGGATGAACTGGTTAGATCTCCTTGCAGTCCAAGGGACTCAAGAGTCTCCTCCAACACCACATTTCAAAAGCATTAATTCTTTGGCACTCAGCTTTCTTTAGAGTCCAACTCTCACATCCATACATGACTAGTGGAAAAACCACAGCTTTTACTAGACAGACCTTTATATCACTTGCTAATTCAAGGAAAATTAGAAAAATGGAGAGGAGTATAAAAAGGAATAATCTCTGATCTTAATTCCCTAAAGAAAACTAAAAAGTGATAATTATTTTGTATCATATTCTTGCAATTTATACATACACATACACTTAAAACTAGGATCACATAGTCTTGTGTTCTTTACCTCTACTAAATTTTATGTCCTGAACATCCTTACACACGTATCTTGGTGAACTCTTGTCATTTTTGGAAACCATGGCTGTACAACACTTCAACCATGGAGGGAACTTAGCCAAATGGGCTGCAGGAACAGGGTTATTGTGGAGATGAAGAAACAAACCACACAATCATTCGCTACTCTGGCCTCTTAAGGAATTCTCTCCTGGAGTGCCCATCCTAACTCCTGAACAGGGTGAGCTGCAGACTGGAGGAGGGCATGATGGAGGGTGAGAAGATGAGAAGGGAAGTTGTGTTCAATCATGCCTTCTCACAAAGCACTGAAGGTGCAGAAGAGGGAGGGACATCTCTGAGCCGAGCCCTGGGGCAGAGCAGGCCGAGGGGCTCAGAGGTGTCCACAGGGAATGAGCTTCTGGACTTCATTCCTCGTGAGTCCAGGGCCTTTCTTCAAACTATCTTCCTACAAAAAGGGCATTAATTTTTTTTTTGGTCACACTGTATGACATGCGGAATCTTAAGTCTCCCAACCAAGGATCTTAGTCTCCCAACCATGGCTCCTCCTGTGATAGAAGTGCAGAGTCTTAACCACTGTTCTCCAGGGAGGTCCCAAAGGGGCATAAATAGTGTTCTTTATCTACTGCTTACCCTCCGGGGTAGCTTTGTGTACCGAACATAATCCTCCAGAAACAGAAGGGCGCCCACAACGTCGGCAGGCATTTCTGGTATCTTCTGGCTGCAACAAAGAACAGTCTGGATCAATGAACTGCTTTTGTATATAGACCCTTAGTCAAAATAGTGAAAGATTGAAAAAAAATGACAGATGACTAAATGAAGCCAAAGAAGAGACACATCTACAGAATCTCCTCTTGATTATTACATCGAGCCATATACTGCTGGCTGATCTTCAGCACACAGCCTGGAGGAGGGAATAGAAACTTCTCTGGATGGTCTACCTGGGTCTTTACGACGTGGCCCCTGCTGACCCTTTAGGGTAACAGAAGGAAACTCAGGACCCAGCATCCCATGCAAATACACAACTTGTTCTATCCCAGAAAAGCCGCATTTGGGGTGGAGGAGAGGAAAACTAAAGGTTTACAAGCTTTGTATCAAGTAGGAGCTTCCGTGTTTCATTTGTTTGACTTCACACCAGGAACTCGGGCTGTGCTGACAGTGGGGTGGCTCCCTGACTTCCACCGAAGGGTGGAGCCATCCCCGGGTAAGTGGTCAAGGGGGAGGACACGGGCTCACAGGTCTGAGCCCAGCACCCACGACGGCAGAGGGGCAGGCCTCTACTTTCTTCCCTGTAGGGCTCGCTCATGGTGCTCATGACTCCTTCACAGTGGGTGCTCCCAGGGGCCTCCCCGTGACTCCTCAGCGGTGTGACTAAGGATGGGCACGCCTTTAAGTGCCCCAAACAGGAGATGTGCCCCAACCTGCTGTACAGGGCAGGGTGAGCAGCCAATTCCCGGCTCTGCTGCTGCTGCGAAGTCGCTTCAGTCGTGTCTGACTCTGTGCGACCCCATAGATGGCAGCCCACCAGGCTCCCCCATCCCTGAGATTTTCCAGGCAAGAACACTGGAGTGGGTTGCCATTTCCTTCTCCAATGCGTGCATGTGAAAAGTGAAAGTGAAGTCGCTCTGTCGTGTCCAACTCGTAGCGATCCCATGGACTGCAGCCCACCAGGCTCCTCCGTCCATGGGATTTTCCAGGCAAGAGTACTGGAGTGGGGTGCCATTGCCTTCTCCGAACTCCCAGCTCTATGGGGGACAATAAGAGGAGGAATCTGGCACGTGAGGTCTCCACTTTGTCCTGGTTGGCCTTCCGTACCTTGTGCACTGCTCCACTGTGGAGCGGATGAACTGGCCGATCAGCGCCAGGAACTGCTCCGTGTACCGGGAGTGAAACTGCTTCAGCAGGGTGAGCAGCCCCAGCACCAGGGGCGGCCAGTCCACGGGGTCGGCGGGCTTTCGGCAGACCATTCCTGCGAGGACCGACAGACCACAGGTTACACCACCGCGGGGTGCGCTGGCCTTTCGCCATGTTCATTCAGGATGAATGTTCATGAATGTCAAGACGCTGGGGCCCACATGATCTCTGGCAGATGATTATCTGGAGGGAATGACAATCCAGGACCACATTTCGAATTGGATCCAGGATTGGTGGAGGCTTCTAGTGCTCTGATGGATTCAACACCCTAGAATGGGTACTAATTTTTATAATTACCACCACTGTTTCTTTAGGATTTTGTAATTAATGGATGCATGGTAGAAAGTATTATAGAGAGTAGCGTTTAAATGTATACATTACCATATGTATAGCTAATGGGAAGCTGCTGTATAATACAGGCAGCTCATCGCGGTACTTTGTGATAACCTAGTGGGGTTGGGAGGAGGTTCAGGAGGGAGGGTCATATGTATACTTAGAGCTGATTCATGTTGTTGTATGGCGGAAGTCAACACAATATTGTAAGGCAATTATCCTCTAATTAAAAAGAAAAAAAAAGAGATAGATAAAATGTTACACAAGAAAAGAATGTGCAGAAGTCAGAACAGGAGAAGGAACTATGCCTGAGTGAGTGAGTGCCAAAGCTGGCCTTGTCACTAAGGATTTCTGCCCCAATACGGAGACCTTGACCTGCCTGAATGGCTGCTTGGGGAACAGGAGACAGAGCACAATGTTGGGAAAAAACCCCACAAAGTTGGAAACTTTCATTGCCATATTTCAAAGACTTATTATAAAGTTACAGTCATCAAGACAGCATTGGCATAAAGATAGGTAAACACATCAATGGAATGAGCAAGAAAATACAGAAATAGTCATACCCTTAAAGGATCAATTGAATTTACATGGATATCCATACAGTTTAATGGAGAAAGAGAAATCTTCTCAATAACTGATGCTAAAAATAGATATCTTTATGGGGAAAAAAAATGAACCTTGAGCCCTATTTCACATAAAAAGTAATTTGAAATAGACCACAGAGACCTCAATGTAAAAGCTACAAGTACAAAGTTTCTAGAAAAAAAAAAATAGGACAATCTGTGCCCTTGGGATAGGCAAAGATATCTTAGAGGATAGAAAAGGCTAGTGATAAAGGAAAAAAATGGATAAATTGGACATCATCAGCAATAAAAACTTCTGCTCATTAAGGTCACACGTAAGAAAATGAATAGGTAAACCATTTTGCAAGAAAAAAAATTTATAGCATGTCTATTAAAAAAAGGACTTGTATCCAGAAAATAAATAACTCCTACAACTCAGGAATAAAAAAGCTATCAACTCAATTTAAAAATAGGCAAAAGACTTGAACAGACACTTAGCAAAGAAAGATAAACAAACAAAAAATATACAAAGAATGGCCAAAAAGCATTTGAAAAAGTGCTCAACATCATAACTCATCAGGGAAAGGCAAGTTAAAACTATGAGATACCCTACATACCCATTATAATGTTTAAAAACACTGAGATGGCCAAATGATGGTAAGTTGTGAAAATGGTACAACCACTTTGGGAAAAGGATTGGCAGTTGATTAGAAAGTTAAACTGACAGACCCCCACATTCGGGTTCTTGTGAAGACTGGGAAAACTTATTTAAGATGCCAAAACAAGCTATCTTGATTTACATAACCTAGGCCTTGGCAATTCCAAATTACTCAATGCCCACTGTAAAAGACACTAGCTGTACTCAGAACATGAAGAGAGAATCCTTCCAAGGTAGACAGCAGAGGGGATGTTTACAACAGACTTCTCTGAATGCAGCACCACAGAGATTCCTTTTCAAAAGCCTGACCAAAGCATGTGTGCCTTTCTTAGATCAGTCTTGAGAACAATGCTCACCAGGTTTATAGAAAAGCTTTCAGGTACACTACATGCTGATGCTCCTTCCTCAGTCTGCTTTTTCTTTAATTTGATCCCCATCTTAACACACCGACCTGATTTATGAAAAGGACTGCAGTCAGGCACGGGAAATTTCTAAGACACTTCACAGTTTTATTTCAAGATCTGGGAATTCTGTGGCATAGTGACATGCTTCTCATAAGCAGCTGTACAACCAAGGAGCCTGGCCTTAACTAACAGGATGAGACCAGTGAGCAAACAGTCTTAATGAAAACAAGGTATCAAAAAAAAAAAAAAAAAAAAAGAAAAGAAAACAAGGTATCTTCATGTGCCTTATTACAAAGAAGCATACATTCTTATTTAGTCATAAGAGAGGGAGGTCATGGATCTCTCAATCTTAAGATGAACCTTTCAGTCCATCTTGGGATAGTTCTTTACACTGATTCTGACCAACATCCAGAAAAGGATTTAGCATCAGGTAAGCACTTGCTCTATGAGAGGTACCATCACAGGTATTTTTAAATTCTAATTGGCCCACAAGTTTAAGTATCTTGGCCAAAGTCACACAGGTGGTTAAGTTGTGAAGTCAGAATCCAAACACACAATTGTTCCCTCCATCCTATAGCCAAGGTTTACTGGGTGCCACCATGCCCTGAATTGGGAGAAGGAAACGACAGACAACCCATTCTAGTATTCTTGCTGGCAGAATCCCATGGACAGAGGAGACTGGTGGGTCACTGTCCATGGGGTCACAAAGAGTTGGACATGACTAAGTGACTGAGCTTCCCTGGTGGCTCAGATGGTAAAGAATCCGCCTGCCATGAAGGAGATGTGGGTTCGATCCCTGGGTTGGGAAGATCCCCTGGAGAAGAGAAGGGCAACCCACTCCAGTATGCTTCCTTGGAAATCCACGGACAGAGACTATAGTCCATGGGGTCGCAAAAAGTTGGACACGACTGAGTGACTAATGCTGAGTGACTGAGCACCATGCCCTGCATTCTGTGGCTGTGACAAATATTGTTATGGGGGCTGTGTCTGGAATAAAGGAATGTTTTTGAATGAGGGAATTAAAAACCTTAAGGAGAATCCAAATCTTTATCCTAAAAAACTTTTGAAATAGGAAGGGAAATACTTCAAAGAAGAAATACATTTTGGAATTGTTGGTTAAAAAAAGTATATGGTTACATTTATAGAAAATACTTTTAAAGTAAATTAAACTCTATAGCAGACTTTGAAAACCTCTACTTAGATATAAAGTTTGGAGACAGAGGAAATACCTGGGAATCTTATAAAAATAAGATAAAGTCAATGACACAAAAAAAATTGTGTTATAATGCTGGATAAGGACAAATATGCTGATAGCCTTTGATAACTATTGTTTGTATCAAGTATTTTCAAAACTAAAGTAATAGACATCCCAGGGTAAAGTACCAGATATCCCAGGGTAAAGTACCAGAGGATTAGTCTCCTCTCTGTAACTATATTGTTACTTTTCATATCAAAGCTCCACAGTAAGCACAGGACACTTACTGCAAGAATAGGACATTAACCAAAAGAAGTTTCTTTTCCACCAAAATCAGCTCCTTTAAAGAAAAGAGAGAAGTAAAGGTCCCACACATTTTACAAGTTGGATAATCAGCCACTGTAAATTAAAGATGGATTATACTTGGTTGATATTAAATCCACTGTCTTCATGATATTTCAGAGGCCCAAGGACATGGATTTTTATAAACATGCAATTACTAAGAAAGACCTCATATGTGACACAGCATTCTCTACTAAGAGCTGTTTGGTTAGATGTTAGTCTACCACCATTGTTCCTTATTGTAAAGAATAAATGTCATAAAATACCTAGATTTTTGTTGTACTGTAGTTTTGGCAGCTGGGCGATCAAAAACAGAAAGTTGACCACTGGGAAGTAGGGTAAGCGCTTTGTCGTTATGTAAATCTGGAAAGAGAAAGAACAGTTTCAAATGGAAAGCTGCCACTTAATTTCAGTTTGCTCTTCTGACTACTGAAAACTAGGGTGGTTCCATTAATTCGCTGCCTTCAGAGTTGTATTTAACACCACTGACCCCTCTCCCTCCAAACACAGCCACCTACTTGACAATCAGTCCTCTTGGGAAAGGAACAATTTTGCTTAGAGATTAGCAGTTGCTCCCCCCTACCCCCAATCCTCTTAATGTTGGTTACAAAATGGGGGTGGGGGAGGAAGATGAGCAAGAAAGTCAAGGCCAAGCAGGAAGGAGGGCAAAGAGAGGGAAAGAGAAAAGAGGCAGAAAGAAAGAAGATCCGCACAGCAGTGCATGGCTCTGCCTAAGTAGAAAGCAAGCAGGGGTCCCACTGTCCGTTTCCTCTTCCCTGGGCAATGCCACAGAGCAGTCTCCGGCCCAGTTCACGAGGCAGAAAGCGTAGTCAGGCCACACCCAGCCATCTTTCCCCTCCTAGTCATCCTGATTCCCTGGGAGGCAGGGGGGCATCCTGGCCAGCAGCACCAGCTCTGGTCAGACAGCCTGGCTCCATCGCTGGCTACTGTGGGGCCCTGGGAAGTTATCAACCTCTGAGCCTCAGGTTCCTCTCCCAACAAGGGCACATTTCATGAGGCTGCTGTGAGGTTAAGTGAGAGCACCTATGGTCAGGGTTAACACAGTGCTTGGCACATAGTAAAACGTAAGGTGCTATTTATGTTCATAATCTTACCTCAAACCCAGGTGATCATACAGATTTCAGAATTTCATATTACAAAAAAGATTTTAGGTAGGCAATACAGTCTAGGGTAACAGACTATAAGCAAAGTTATCTGTATTTCTGCAAAAACATGACAATTCACAGGAGTATAAACAGCCTCAAGTCAGCCTTGGACAGGTTCTGGCACTACATGCGAACTGGCACTAAGTTGTGAAAAATGCCTGCAGTTCTCAGAGGTTTATGGAGATCAGCAACCACAGAAGAGAGCCTGTCTCCCCAGATTCTGACTGTGATTACTGTCAGCCAAGGAGGGAAGGGTCTTTGGGCAAGAAGGATCAAGGCCACCATTTAGGAGCAGTTCAAATACCAAACCCCAGAGAAACCTAAACCTCATCTCTTACTGATACAGCACTTGTCACTCATTCTGACAAACACTGTTATCACTTGACTCCCACAGCCCTGAGTCAGGCAGGGGAGGCGTGATCATCTTCATATTACACATGGGGAATGGGAACCCAGAAAGGGCGGAGCATCACGAGAACAGAGGTTCTGGGATTGGAACCAGGGTCTTCCAATATCAGACGGAGTGCAGGGATCTGCTACCTGGGGCAGATGGCCTTCGGTCCCACCCTATCTCCCACCGTACCATTATATTACATGTTAGTAATCATGAACCTTGTTCAGTGGGTTATGGATGCCAGCTGCCTCCAGGTAGGCAGTGATTTCATATAAGAGTGTGTTATCTTCTTTGGGGTAAGGAAGTGAAGGGTCCTGATAGTGGGCTTCGATATCTGCTAGGAGAGCCCTGAATGAAGGAAAACAACAATAGTGATAAATGTTAGAGATAAACTGAATACAGACAACAGTTAACACAAGGTATGATATAATCTTCCAGAGAGTCAGTGTCCTCATCTGTAAAACAAGGGCTTGCTCCCTTCAAATTCCCGATTTCCATACCTGTGATTGGTGATAAATGGGAAATCTGAACTTGAATTATGTTTTCTTTTAGAGTTCACCCAAATCAACTGCTTTCACCACTTAAATTTTTATGAGCTGACTGAACTAGTTTCAATACCTACTTTGTCAAAAGCACACTGACTTTGAGACCAAGAAGCATGGGTTATTTATCTTTAAGCAGGAGGCTCAAAATGAGAGCAAGCTGCTGGTCAGGTGGAGAGTGTGACTGGATGCTAGGATATGTGTCCACAGCCACGCCTGGTCTTCAAGGTGCTTCTAACTCCCCTCAGGAGAATCAGTGATTCAGTTCTGTGGAAAGCCAAGAGTGGGTTTTGGTGATAATTGCTTTCTCAGTCTGGCCAAGAATCTAGCAAATTATCTGACGTGTATTAAGTGATTAATACATGTTGGCTGAAATGATTCCATTAAAAAAAAAGAGACCAAGAGACAATACTGAAGCAAGAGGCTGCTGAAGATAAATTTGATTACCTATGGGAAGGAAGCCTATATTCAGAGAGCATTCTCACTCAAAAAGGACTTAAGAGAGTAGGTGCCTGCATGCACGCTCAGTCGCTTCAGTACTGTCTGACTCTTTGCGACCCTGACTGTAGCCCACCAGACTTCTCTGACCATGGGATTCTCCAGGCGAGAATACTGGAATAGGCTGCAATGCCTTCCTCCAGAGGATCTTTCTGACACAGGAACTGGACCCATGTCTCCTGCCTTGCAGGCAGATTCTTTACCACTCAGCCACCTAGATACTGAATGTATAAAACCGATAACTAATGAGAACCTACTATGGAGCACAGGGAACTCTATTCAATGCTCTGTGGTGACCTAAATGGGAAAGAAAGCCAAAAAAGAGGAGCTATAGGTATGACGTGCAGCTGATTCACCATGCTGCAGGAGAAACTAACACAACATTGTAAAGCAACTGTACTCCAATTAAAAAAAAAAGTATGTATTGAAGACACTGGGATGCTAACTGATGAACAATCTAGGCCCAGAAGTGGTTGTTTCAAATGCCAGCACTTACTTATTGAGATTCTCCAGAGCAGCTGCCAGGTGTTTGGAGTCAAACCGACAAGAATAATTTAATTCATTGGCGATCTGTTGCCTCAGAATCTGCATCTGCCCAACCTGTGAACAAGCAAGAGAAAGAACAGGGAAAAGCTGATGAACAAAAAGATGACAAGCTTTTATTGAAAGGTTCACAACATTCTGCAGAAAAATTCAAGGATTTCCTGGACTGGTTTCATGCCTAAGACCAGCATCACCCCTGATGGAGCACAAGGGACCCTTAAAGAAATGTCTGCAGAGATTCTGTATGCCAACCTCAACAGAACCCTGAAGTCTAATAGTGAACCTAATAGTCTAAAAGTGAACCATTAATGTTCCTATTGTCCGTGAATTAAAGGTATGTGTTCTGAAGCTCTATTTCAGATCTTTAGAATAAGTTCTCATGTTCAGTAACCACTAATGAGAAGCCCTACTTTCTTTATCTGTCTTAAACTGAACTTTCTCAAGCCTTAAGGGTGCCATTTCACTCTAACATTTCGTCAGTATCAGTCTGTCTACATCCCTCAGGATTACAGATCATGAAATAATCTAGGTGATAAAATAACCTACATACAGTCTTCCAAGAAGGCCCTTCTAACAATGATAACCCTGAAACCAGGGGTTCTTCATGTTTTGTTCGCACTTTGGACATCTGTAGGATGCTGGAGATGCCTATGGATGCTGTCTCAGAATGGTTCTTTTGAATGTATGAAATAAAACATACAGAATAACAATGAAAGCCAATTATAACAAAATGTAATTCTCAAGCGATTAACATAACAAATTTGTTATAACTTGCTTCTCTTGTCATCCTGGCTTATGGCATGTCAGACCTATATAACAAAGAGGCCATCTAGCAGAGCCAAAGGCTTCTATTCAATTTAAGTTTCCAAATTAGAACTAGAACTCAATGAAATGATGGGAAATATACTGTGAATTGGGCTGAGACACCAACAATTCCTGTCTCAATGAGCAACTTACATAATTGGGAACAGAGAACAGGACTACTCCAAATTCTGTGAGTAGTCTAGACCTGTCCTTTGGTATCTGATCTGATACTTTTAACCATCAGTCAGTTTTCCACCAGGACATCTATTCCTTCCTACTGTACTGTGAGTAGGCTTTCCAGGGAGACAGCCAGCTTCCTTGAACTCTGTCTTACAGCAACTGACATAAGGGTGTTCAACAAAGGGTTATTTAATGTTAACATTAATAGTATTTAATGTCTCAGATTACCAAGTGATGAGAGATGGATATGCAAAAGATACAAGGTGTCTCTGGAAGCCAATGCCACAGTGTAAAGGCAGATGTGTGGATTCTAAAGCAAGCTGGATTTCCATCTGACAAATCACAGGCACACCTTGGAAATACTGAGTTTGGCTCCAGATCACCATAACAAAGCAAATATTGCAATAAAGTGAGTCACATGAATTTTCTGGTTTTCCAGTGCATATAAAGTTATATTTACATTATACTGTAGTTTGTTAAGTATATAAAAGCATTATGTCTAAAAATGAATTTAAAAATACTCTATTGCCCCAAAAGCTGGCCATCCTTCAGAGTCAGAGTGGTAACAAAGGTCACTGATCACAGATCACTGTCACAAATATAACAATAATGAAAAAATTTGTAGTATTGCGAGAATTCCTGAAATGTGACACAAAGTGAGCAAAAGTTGTTGGAAAAATGGTGGTGACAGACTTGCTCGACACAGGGTTGTCACAAATTTTCAATCTGTACAAAATGCAATACCTGCAAAGTGCAGTAAAGTGAAGTGCAATAAGATGACGTGTACCTGTAATCTCCCCATCTTACTTTCTCACTCATTTCCAAAGACACACATCCAGTCACAGTGTAAAGATAACATGTCCAAAGGAACCTGGCTTTCTAGTTTTTGAGCAGATACTTAACAACTCTAAAGGCTGAGATTAGGGCGGCAAACTGACAACAGTTCATTAATGAACTTGTCACATGAAGACGGAGGATGACCGAGGAAGGAAAACTCCTATTTCCTTGAGTGAAAGCACCTTTTGCTAAAAGGCATTTCAAAATGAGTTTTGTCAGTGAAAGAAGCATGATAAATGGGCCAATGAAAAGCACTGTCAAGAACAGCCAAAGAACAGAGCCATTTAGAAATAATGATAAAACTGAAGTGGTGTATTTTTGGTTTTATGGCCAAAGAAAAAGAGTGGCTTTCTTGGGGGTAACCAAGTTACAAGAAATTAATAATGAAAAAACCATAGCATCAGCTCTCTCACAACATACCTTCATGATAGCCTCGAGATAAGCAGTCCAAATCTTCTGGGTTTTGGCAATGGCGGAAAAATAAATTTTATTCGAATTTGCTGAAAGGTTAAAATATGAGTTTCTATTTAGTAAATGTGGAAAGGCTACAGTGTTCTCTCTACCTCAGGCTCATTTTAGAACACTTACCTACAATACTTTTTAGGGGGCTGACGGCATTCATTAGGGTTTTTAAAGTCTCCTGCACAGTTCTGTCTCGCAAGATAATTTTCTGAAACATGCTGAGGAAATTCTAAAACGAGAAGGCATGATCAAAGAACCAAATATAATGAATAAAATGAAGAAATGCTCCAGTTAACTCAAAGGCGACACAGAACACAGACAAGCCTCATTCACACAAAGCTACAAATAAGAGGATGGGGAAGACACAACTTCCGGTTCCCATCAGAAACATCCCCTGCTGGGAGGAGTTGCTGGTTTCTAAGATGAAATTCACAAAAACTGTTTACCCATAAAAATACTATGCTGGCCAAAGAGATTCTAGTTTATTCTCAGTTCTTCTCTATTTAGCAGGAGTTATATAAATATGCCTGATGTCAGTGTGGGAAAGTATGAAAGAAAGGCTAAACCATCTACTCCCTTCTTCCCCAGGATAGCAGAACACACACATGGATACTCAAGGGCTTACCTGTAACTCTTTGACAATCATAAAGCACAGAAGCCTGTCTAACCCGTTCAGACCGAAAGTCCCCAAGGTGTTTTGGATTTCTGAGAAAAGGCGGCTGCTGGTCACTTCTTGATGGGTTTTCATATCATACCAAGTGTTCAGCTGGTCAATGTGACATGTCATTCTAAAACATAAACAAAAAAACCTCAAAACCCAAAAGCAGCTCAGAATTCACCCTGAAAGGATGAGGGATACAATAGGATTTGGGGCATCAGATAGGAAGAACAATGGTTTCATGATCTGTGCTTTAATAATCCCTGCATCTGGGCACCCAAGACATCTCACGGTGAATGTCCAATGGGCCAGGAAGGCAAAATTCAGTTAAGTCACTTCCTGCCCTTGCTATGTCACCAGTTTGAATGATACATTTCCACTGGGTTGGGTAGTTGAGTCATATCTCAAGGACAAGGCTAGATTCAGTCATCAGGCTGGACGACTTCGGAGCCGCATTGCCTCTCTGGAGGGGTTTTCTGTAAAAATCCAGAGACTGGGAGCAAAACAGTGTCTTGTCCCATTTCCACTTTGGTAAGAAAGGAACTTTGAATCCTTGCGCCTTGATGTCTGAGGTCATGATGACAGAGCCATCTCCTCTTTCCTCCTAGTCCCAGTCATCGACCAACGATTCCCTTTGAGACTCAAGAGTGTAACGATGGCGATGATAAAAACCGACATTTACTGAGGACTGCCTATGTGTCGGGCACTGGGCCAGACCTTTCCGAGTGCTCTCAATTCATCCTCGGAATAGCTCTGTGATGTACAAGCTGGGTTTAACTTTCGTTTTACACATGAAATAACTAAGTCTTAGACAGGCCTGGTTATAACACCACACCCACAACCACCAAGATTCTCAAATGTTCGCATGGGGACCTTAAATCAATGGTGCAAGTGTGTGTTCTCAGTTGCTTCAGTCGTGTCAGACTCTTTGAGACCCTATGGACTGTAGCCCGCCAGGCTCCTCTCTCCATGGGATTTCCCAGGCAAGAATACTGGAGTGGGTTACCATGTCCTCCTCCAGGGGGCCTTCCCAACCCAGGGAACCCCTTCTGTGTCTCTTGCATTGCAGATGGATTCTTTACCCACTGAGCCACCTGGGAAGCCCTAAGTCAATGGTAGAACATGATTAAAAAAACAGATGTTGAGATCCCATTTCTGGAGGGTTGGATTGGTCATGTCTGGGGTGGAATCCTAGCCTCTACTTTCTACAGGCCCCACAAAATGATATGGCCCCATTCCTAAGAGCCAACACATATCTTTACTGAAATGAAGCTTGGGAGGGAATTAAGAGAGACTCAGGAGCTAGGGAATTTTAAATTTGGAACTAAATGGAAGAACAAGATGACTTCCAGAGCGGCAGTCTACTTTCAGGCTTCAAAGTATCCTGCTTCCACCATTAGCTGTGGGCACTTTGCATGCGTCACTGACAGGCTCCCAATTTTGAGAACATACATGACATGGAAATCCCAGTCAAGCTTGATCCTGTCTGCCAGTATTAAGCTGGCACTAGGTGAGTGAGGTGGACAGGTTTGTAGGAGGGCTTCTGAGATCAACCCATGGGGACCGAGAAAGGAGGAGTCCCAAAACGTTTTGGATCATTTAATCTTTTTGGCCCGTGAGTCACAGACCGAACGCCTTTCTGCCAAAGGTGATATATGGTTTGTCAAGTTTCTTAAGTTCTGACAGACAAAGTCAGCCTGAATGTGAAGGCGGTATAGAGAAGATGTGTCATGAGGATATTTAACTTGCACAAAGTCAACTTCACCCACACAGCTGGACTGAGAAAGAAGAGACATCACCTTTCCCTGGGAAACCACACTGGTCATTCCACTGAGCAAGCCCATGCCCAGGGGTGAAGATGAGAGCAGACAGGAGCCTGCTCTCCCCTTAGTAGGGCTTAGTACCAGCTGTTTCATCAGAGGCTCAACTGCAGAAGAATGAGGACTCAGCTGGACTTACTAGGACAGATAGCGTGCAAGTCCCCACTGTGGTGCCCACCTGTAGTATTCTCAGTGGCCATTTTGATTACATGAGGTTTTCACCCAAGTGACTGTACATATAACCTGTAAGTCACTGTTGCCCTTGAATGACACAGGCTTTAAGAGTTGGGCTCCAGAGTCAGAGGGCCTGGTGCCTACTCTGGGGCCACCACTGATTAAATTCTGGGAAAGTGACTGAGCTTTTCTGTGCCTCGGTTACTTCGAGAGGCACATGGGATGAATAACAGTGTCTACCCCTTTAGACTGTTGTGATGGGTAAGTGAAGGGATGTGTGTCAGGAGGAGCGCATAAGGCGAGTGCTCAAGGAATTCTGGGTCTTCCGCAAAGTGCCCGAGGGTGGAGCTGAGAAACAAGAAAGTCATCTTAGAAGTGCAAGGTGTGAGCTGGCAAGTGCAAGGCCAGTGACTGCAATGGGGGAGTAGGTCATAAGTGCAGACCCACAGGAGCAATTTGGAATTTAAAGTTTTAATAAACCTGGTAGTCCACAGACCCAAGTAATGTTAGCTGGAAAGAAACAGAGGCATTGACTAAAATAAGAGGTAGCTGAATAGACCTTCTAATTGTTTTCATCTCTATGTCTTTGGACTGGGGTGACCTCAGTCACACTGAGGAAAACATGCAGTCCCAGAAAAAGTAAACTTAATCAACCCATGAGAAAGGCTCCAGCAATGGTAGGAACAGGATATGATTTGAGTAGAGGTCAAGGATATGATCAATATGTTAGAGACTTGCTGTCCATGAGGTTCAAGGCCCAGTGGAATTGAGGTACACCTACTTTGGGTCTGTGATTCGCAAGATTTCTCTGCAGAGTCGACCAATAAATGTTACAGACTCGTCCACAGGGGTAAACTTTGGTATTGGAATATGAGTGGACTGGTACATACTTTGCCAATCTTGAATCTAGAAAAAAAAAAAAGAACCCCAAGGACATAAATATTTAGTGCATCTTTGATAAGTTAACCTAGTTATCCTTTTCTTACATAGTTTTACAAAGATAATGTTGCATGAACAGTGACTATAAATGGCTCCTTGATTTTGAAGAATAAATTTTAAAAACTGTAGTAAAAGCCTTCCAGAAATACCACATATATTTATTAAAAAAAGAAATAACTGTGAAAAAGTGAAGAGATTGAGGACAAGTGGAAAAAGACAGGAATTTCTTACTTTCTGTCTTACAAGTTGACATATATCAGTGTAATAATAAACATCCAAATATAGGGTTGGAAGATACATAATCTTTTGAAAATGTCACATGAATCATGTCAGTTCCCTAAACTTGTGAGTGACTCCTTGTTAATTACTAAGATCAGTCTTCTGAGCTGTGACACTTGAGAATGTGGTGCTCACAATAGATGCAGAAAAAGCCCTTGACAAAATTCAACATCCATTTATGATAAAAACTTTCCAGAAAGCAGGAATAGAAGGAACATACCTCAACATAATAAAAGCTATATATGACAAACCCACAGCAAATATTATCCTTAATGGTGAAAAATTGAAAGCGTTTCCCCTAAAATCAGGAACAAGACAAGGGTGCCCACTCTCACCACTACTATTCAACATAGTTTTGGAAGTTTTGGCCACAGCAATCAGAGCAGAAAAAGAAATAAAAGGAATCCAGATAGGAAAAGAAGTGAAACCCTCACTGTTTGCAGATGACATGATTCTCTACATAGAAAACTCTAAAGACTCTACCAGAAAATTACTAGAGCTAATCAATGAATATAGTTAAGTTGCAGGATATAAAATTAACACACAGAAATCCCTTGCATTCCTATACACTAACAATGAGAAAACAGAAAGAGAAATTAAGCAAACAATACCATTCACCACTGCAACAAAAAGAATAAAATACTTAGGAGTATATCTACCTAAAGAAACAAAAGACCTATACATAGAAAACTATAAAACACTGATGAAAGAAATCAAAGAGGACATAAATAGATGGAGAAATATACCGTGTTCATGGATTGGAAGAATCAATAATGTGAAAATGAGTATCCTACCCAAAGCAATCTATAGATTCAATGCAATCCCTATCAAGCTACCAATGGTATTCTTCACAGAACTAGAACAAATAATTTCACAATTTGTATGGAAATACAAAAAACCTCAAATAGCCAAAGCAATCTTGAGAAAGAAGAATGGAACTGGAGGAATCAACCTGCCTGACTTCAGACTATACTACAAAGCCACAGTCATCAAGACAGTATGGTACTGGCACAAAGACAGAAACATAGATCAAAGGAACAAAATAGAAAGCCCAGAGATAAATCCACGTGCCTATGGACACCTTATCTTCAACAAAGGAGGCAAGAATACACAATGGAAAAAAGACAATTTCTCTAACAAGTGGTGCTGGGAAAACTGGTCAACCACTTGTAAAAGAATGAAACTAGAACATTTTCTAACACCATACACAAAAATAAACTCAAAATGGATTAAAGATCTAAATGTAAGACCAGACACTATAAAACTCCTAGAGGAGAACATAGGCAAAACACTCTCTGACATAGATCACAGCGAAATCCTCTATGACCCACCTCCCAGAATATTGGAAATAAAAGCAAAAATGAACAAATGGGACCTAATTAAACTTAAAAGCTTTTGCACAGCAAAGGAAACTATAAGCAAGGTGAAAAGACAGCCTTTAGAATGGGAGAAAATAATAGCAAACGAAGCAACAGACAAAGGATTAATCTCAAAAATACACAAGCAACTCCTGCAGCTCAATTCCAGAAAAATGACCCAATCAAAAAATGGGCCAAAGATCTAAACAGACATTTCTCCAAGGAAGACATACAGATGGCAAAAAAACACATGAAAAGATGCTCAACATCACTCATTATCAGAGAAATGCAAATCAAAACCTCAATGAGGTACCATTACACACCAGTCAGAACAGCTGCAATCCAAAAGTCTACAAGCAATAAATGCTGGAGAGGGTGTGGAGAAAAGGGAACCCTCTTACACTGTTGGTGGGAATGCAAACTAGTACAGCCATTATGGAGAACAGTATGGAGATTTCTTAAAAAACTGGAAATAGAACTGCCATATGACCCAGCAATCCCACTTCTGGGCATACACACTGAGGAAACCAGATCTGAAAGAGACACGTGTACCCCAATGTTCATCGCAGCACTGTTTATAATAGCCAGGACATGAAAGCAACCTGGATGCCCATCAGCAGATGAATGGATAAGAAAGCTGTGGTACATATACACAATGGAATATTACTCAGCCATTAAAAATAATTCATTTGAATCAGTTCTAATGAGGTGGATGAAACTGGAGCCCATTATACAGAGTGAAGTAAGCCAGAAAGAAAAACACTAATACAGTATACTAACGCATATATACAGAATTTAGAAAGATGGTAACGATAACCCTATATGCAAGACAGAAAATGAGACACAGATGTATAGAACAGAATTTTGGACTCCATGGGAGAAGGTGAGGGTGGGATGATCTGAGAGAACAGCATCAAAACATGTATATTATCAGGTGTAAAACAGATCACCAGTACAGGTTGGATGCATGAGACAAGAGCTCGGGGCTGGTGCACTGGGATGACCCAGAGGGATGGGATGGGGAGGGAGGTGGCAGGGGGGTTCAGGATGGGGAACACATATAAATCCATGGCTGATTCATGTCAATGTATGGCAAAAACCACTACAATATTGTAAAGTAATTAGCCTCCAACTAAAAATAATTGGGGAAAAAAAACCCAAAAAACAAACAACAACAACAAAAAGAATGTGGTGCTCAAATAATCCAATAAAAAATAGGCAAAGGACTTGATATTTCTCCAAAGAAGATATAACATGGTCGATAAGCACATGAAAAGATGCTCAACATCATTAGTCATGATGGAAATGCAAATCAAAACCACAATGAAATACCATTCAGACTCACTAGGATGATTATAATTAAAAAGAAAAAAGAGGAAATAAACAAGTATTGGCGAGGATGTGGAAAACCTAGAACCCTCATACACTGCTGGTGGGAATGAACAAATGGTGCAGGTACTGTGGGAAACAGTTTGGTGGTTTGTAAGTTAAATGCAGAACTACTAAATGACCCAGCAATTCTGCTCTTAGGTATATACTCTGATCAAACCCAGATGAACTCTTACATCTTTGGAACTCCTGAGTACCTGCTTTATAATGACTATACCAGATGGTTTCAGTCTGTAGCCATGTAATTAAGTCTGCTTTCTCCTAAGGACAGTAAACTTGGAGAGGTCAGTATGGTCACAGAAACCTTTCTGCAACCCTCACAGCTCCTGAAGTTACTCTGAAGGTATTTATGACTCTGCGGTGGTTACAGAGTTTTAGTAATTGTTTAAACATTTGTTGTTGGCATTCCTGAGGTTTGGGGCATGTCAGAAGTGATATATAGTCAAGAATATTAAAATCTGTTTAGATACCTTTGTTCTTAAGAAATTATTACATTCTTGTTCCACATTGTAATTTATAATACGAGATACTTCTTCCTGCCAAATCTTCAGGCCATAAATGTTGACATAGTCCTGAATATATTCAAAAGAACGATGGAATCCATCCATGGTGGCTCCCAGCTCTTTCAGCTTGGGCATCAGTTCACTCGGCTGTGTGAAAGAAGAGACAGAAACCTGTTATACTGGCACAGTCTGTCAACTGCTAACACCTACATGAGACTGTCAAGGAAATCCCAAGTGAGAGACCACAGTGACAGCTGAGGACATACTTATTCCTACCTCATTTAGAGTGAGTGGTAATTTATGCCAGGCATCCAATAAAGAGTATATTTCATTCACTTGGGGAGAAAGCCTCATATAAAAGAATATAAAAAATGAGTATCAATGATTTCTCTCATCATTTGATGACTCTAACCTTAATTAAATTGAATTTACTGATGTGATTTCAGATGTAAATTTCAGGCCTGTTCTTTCTCTCTTGAGAAAAATGATCATATTCTCTAGCAGAGCAAGCAAAAGAAAAAAAAATTACACCCTTTCCAACCTGCTTTAGGCTTAACAAATTCTTTTGATTATGAGAAAGAACCTGGAATCATAAATATCAGTTTAATTCTTAAACTTGAAGGAAAGGGCTGATTTTAAAAAGGGTTTTCTTATAATATGAATGCTTATAAGATAGGATCAAGGGTGGGATCGGTGGGAGGTAGGAGGGAGGTTCAACAGGGAGGGGACATATGTCTATCTCTGGCTGATTGATGTTTGGAAACCAACACAATTCTGTAAAGTAATTATCCTTCAATTAAATAAATTAGTAAAAAACCCCACCAAAATAAAAAAAAGATAGGATCAAAAAACACATCAGCTCATTGTACTGAATATGATACAGTAGATATATGTTAGATAGGAAGAAAGGTCTTGTTCGTGTTCAAAATGACATTCTAGAACATTCTGCAAGTTGAGGCGAGGGCAAGGAAAGACTCATTCTGATGACTGGGTACCTTGGCTCGGGGGTTGAAGATCAAACCCCTATGAAGGGCAAAAGCAACACGCTTAACAAGCTCCTTCCTGATTCCATCCTCCAGCAGTTGTTTTGGATCCACCTAAATGCAAATTGAAAAGCATAAAATGTTAGTTAGGAAAAGCTCGGTCTAGAAGAAACACAGAGGAAAGACAGTCTCCAGAATCTGTAGGGGAGCATTTCCCTACCTCAATCCTAGATGATCACAATTTTTTTCCCCCCTTCCTGCCCCTCTGTGATCTTGTGCAGCTCAGATAGAACTGTTAGAACCTGTCACCGCGGTAGGACTTAATTTATCTCAGCAACATTCATGATAATTTTACATGTCATTTCAAAGATGGTGGGTATGGAAAGTTTTAAATGGCCTCACATTTTGATCGTTTCATAAGAGTGCCTTTTCTTATCACCAGGAGGAGATGGTGGACCAATGGCTTGCACTGGAATTCAGGGCACATCTTTCATCTGGAAGTTATCTAAGGGCATCTATAATCATACGAGCAAAATCAAGCTTGGGGTTTGACCTCTGCAGATTCAACAATTATTTTTTCTCTCAGTAGTCTCAGGATGCTGTTTGTAATTAGGGAGATAAAATAGGAAAGAAATCTGCTATTTAATTTCACAGCTTATTTAGCTGATTCTTTTTTTCTATAATGAGAAAGCTTTTGTTATTCCCTAAAAGTCTCCTATCAAATCTATAAAACATCAAATAGTTTTAAAACAGTCCTCTGAATTCTCTAAGACATGTTTCTTTTAATTTGTCAAGACTTATTATTTAAAAGTCATAAAGACAATTGATGGGTTCCATCTGGATTTGATGATATTTAAAATTTAAGGAAGACAACTGCAATGCAAAAGTTGCTGAAAATACAAAAGCCAGAGGAACTTGTTAGACTACACTGTGATCAGGCAGTCATTGAAAGCCAGACTGAGGAGAAATAACAGGTCAAGACCTTGAGTTCTTCAACAAACTGTAAGGAAAGAAAGGAATGAAGGAGGAATCTGAGGAGTAAATCAGTCTTAAAAGACACATTTTTTTTTTAACGGGAAAATCTGAACTAAAGTATCTAGAGATTTACTTTTGGATAATAAAACTATAAACAGAGAGACTGGGATTAGGGCCCATGAGGAGGATCCTGGGGTGGCAGTTAGCTGAACTATATTTCTGGGCTTGAGAGGTGGTGGGAGTGAGTGGGGAGTGAGTGGTCTTTATCTCACACTAACCCATCAAGCTACACAATTGTTTCTGTAGCTTTAGGCATCTATGCTGTATTTCACAAGGGTAAATTTAAATAAATACAGTCAATGAAAACAAACTCAAGCAGGTAAGATGAAATTTCCAAAGAAACAGCCCTTATAAAAATAGATTTCATGAAAAAGAGTTCAGTGTTTTCACGAATCTCATGGTCTTAAAGAGCCCTTCCCATTCTCCCCAGGCTTCCACCAACCTGTGGAGTGCTCACAGGAAAGGGAAGGACCCTTTCACACAGCTCCCTCCCTGCGGTTCTGTCTACCTTCTCTGGTTAACAACAGTTAACAGTTTTCACGTGGATCCTCCAGACCCTTCTCTATTAATTTCTGTATGTATTTGTTCTTAAATATATTTAATTAAAAAGATATAAATGGTCATGTGGTATTTCTAATTTTTTTACAGAATCTCCATAATGTTCTCCATGGTGGCCATACGGTGAATGTATCTGCAGGGGAGCAATGGAGAGGCAGATGTAGAGAACATACCTGGGGACACAGTGCAGGAAGCAGGGGTGGGATGAACTGAGAATAGTCTGGAAACATATGCCTTACCATATGTAAGACAGCAAGAGGGAATTAGCTGTGTGACACGGGGAGCTCAACCCATTTCTCTGTGACAACCTAAAGGGGTGGGAGATGGGAAGGGGGTTCAGAAGGGAGGGGATAGATGTATACCTGTGACTGATTCATGCTGATGTATGGCAGAAACCAACACAATATTGTAAAGCAATTATCTACCGAGAAAAAAAATGTCTAAGTGGGATCAAAATATTGGGTTGGCCAAAAAGTTCATCTGGACCAATTTAGTCCTAAGATTTATTCGTAAGACATTATGAAAAACCTGAATGAAATTTTTGGTTAACCCAGTATGTACATATATATACACTACATGTTGTATATTGCAATTGCTTTTCCACTTTACATTTTGGAAATTTCCTAGTGGTAAGTTATTTTTGAATGGCAGGAAAGCAATCCACAGTGTAACTGCAACATGATATATTAAGCCATTCTCTCACTCATAAAATGCTTAGGTTATTTCTATTATTTTGGTTACATCTAACAATGGACATTATATGTGTATCTGTGTATATCTCACTTGTTTTAACTCATATTAACTAAAATGAGTTAGAACTCTTTGAAAGGGTTTGAAATAGATCCATAACATTCAAGTTTACAGATTACCGAAGGCCATGGGATCCCACATAAAGCCCTGAGTTGTTAAACTGGCAGAGACAATGTAACCTTAAAGGACGTCAAGATGACATTCCCTTTGCACTTATTGGTGACTCAGATGATAAAGAATCTGCCTGTAATGCGGGAGACCTGGGTTTGACCCTTGAGGAATGGCAACCCACTCCAGTATTCTTACCTGGGAAATCCCATGAACAGAGGAACCTGGCGGGCTAGTCCTAGGTATGCAAAGAGTCCGACATGACTGAGCAACTAACATACTTGCACTAATTAAATGAAAGATTCTGGTAAGAGATTTACATTTTTCTTAAGCAGTCCTTCCTTTGATAATTATTGCTAATTACTAGGTTTTATTACATCCAACTTGTCACTTTGCATTTAAGACTAATCTGGTCCTAGGATGTATCATCACATAAAGATGAGTGAGAAGTGATAACCTGTCTGTGTACTCTCTGAATATCAACTGACTTAAACTGGCATCAGGCCTAAAGCATGTTTATTTATTTATTTATTTTTCAACATCTTTAAAAATGCGTTTATTTTTTAAAAAATCAGTTGTGTACAAAAGTGTTTCGTAGTTTTTAATTCTCAAGACAAATACCCAGCCCTCCACCCCCAGCCCACCCTGTTTCAATGGTCTTTCTGGCAACCCACCCATTCTCCCCTTACAGGAAGTTAACGGCTCAGAATAGATCCTCCTATAGAATTTATCATCACTAACAGATTGTTTGGAATAGAGATCTAGAGAAGCTAACAAGCAAGATTCTTTCTCAGTGAGGTTAATGAGTATCCCTATAATGGCAGTAGACTTCCAGCAGACACCACAACAAAGCACCATCAATTGCTGAAAGCTAAAAATAGATATTATTTTCAATAGTATTCCATTTTCTATTGGAAAAGTCTTTAAATTACATTAAATAAGTCTCTTTCCCCCCAAAGAAATAGTCTAGCTTTTATTAGGATGTCTGTAAAAAGCAGGTAACAGCAAGCACACGAGGGTCATTTAACAGCAAGGTGCAAATGATTTCTGAATCCACTCACCCCCAGGACCAAACTGATAAACTGTGCCTCATCTCATTATATAAGCAGCACTGAATATATACATATACATATATATTCAATGCCTGGTTGGAATAACCAAGCAAAAGGTGACACATTCACAACTTAACATTTAGGTGATGATCACAGGTTTATGAGGGTAGATCAGTCCAAAAGAACAGTAACAGAACAAATGGGACAAGTGAGATACTGACATTTCCCTAGCTCTATGCCACAAGATTTTGACCCATATTGCAACAGTGCAAATAGAACATGTGACATAGTATGCAGACAAGGCAGAAAAGTCACACTTGAAGAAAAGGCTATTTATCAGCTAAAGCATGTTTAATAGAGTCTATTAATACTACAGGGCTAGAATGGTATTTCTTTACTACATTTCTAGAAACAACATAGTAAAGTTCTGTTTCTTTTAGGTTCATTTCCTATATTTTGTTGGATTTCATTAAAACAAATGTTATAGCAATTCAATGAAAATTCTTTAGAAAACTGGAAATGTTAAGATTCTACTGATGTCAGATAAATGGAAAAATAAATAAGAGCACCACGAACTGAGTGGGTGCATCCACTAGTCATCTGAGGATTACAAATTATAATAAAACAGCAATGATATACCACTTTAGACCCGTTTGGAGAACAAAAATTAGGAAGCGGATCATGGCTAGTATTGGCCAAAATGGGGGTAGAAACACAGGAAACAAGTCATGTGAGGAGGCAATCTGGCTGTACTGAGACAAAGTAAGTACAAACGTGTCCTAAGACTCTGACCCACTCCTGGGCAGGCAGACTTCAGAGCAATTCTTGCACAGGCCTATGTGGGGACATGTTCAGAGATGCTCATCTTGACATTGCTGATGATAACAGGAAGCACAGGTATGAAAATGAGCAGCATCTGTGCCCTGAGGAACAGCTAAGTAAAGTGTGAAATTCTCTGTAGCAGTAAGAAGTAACCAACAACCTCATTACAACATAGATAAATTCTGAAAGCAATAACTAGTGAGAAATGTTAGAAAAGATTGAGGCTTTGGAGCAGAATATGATTTAGAGAAATCAAAAATGTGCACACATAAAATACTACTACTTGCTAAAAATAAGGAGACTTGCATATTTATGGACAGAAATCAAACAGAGTGGGTGTTATAGGGTCTGGGGGGGGTATCCAGGAGAAGAGAAAGAAAAAAGTAAGAGAGGAGCTTGCATGTACTGGTGATGGCAATGGCCTATGGTCTGAGGTTTACCATGATCTCAGCCCTCTGCACCTGGGGTAGAGTATAAAAACATTAAAGAGAAAGAAAGGTTGTAGGCAAGGAGGAAAGAGATAGTAAGTGATCAAGTAAGCAAGCTACTCTGCCTAAGGGAATTTAATTATTTTGTTTTGTTATTACAAAAAGTCAATAAAATTTTTTTCTTAGAGTTTAGGAATTCCTGGGTATTGTGAAAAATGAGGAAAATAATGCTTTCTCTTTCTCTGTTCGTAAGTGAGTAAAATGAAAATCAAACACTGCATGTGAAATAGCAAGGGGCATAAGATGATGACACTACCCCCACAGGATAAATTCCGCAAAAATCCAAATGACAGAGAGGTTTACTACCAGGCCACAGAGACCAGCATTAAGACCATTACCTTGATGATGCCAACCAAAGTTGTCTTCATCATTAAGATGCCTTCAGTAAAAATGGAAATAGCATGAGTAAGCTTGGCAACCTTCAACAAAGAAAAAGAAGTTAATGAAGTACTTCTCATAAAAGACACATCACTTCTATGGGAAGCTAAAATAATTGGTAATAGTTCTGAAAGGGCAAAGCCAAGAGAACAAGCATGTAGCTTGAAGGCACCTGCGTGTACATGTCCTGGTCAGACATGAGGCTCTGGGGTGTTGACCACTGTCAGACCTACCGGGTGACTGAGTCAGATGTTCAATCATTCTTTACCCTTTGATCAACCATTTCCCCTTCTTTGGGCCTCAGTATTTCACACATTAGATGAAAGCAGGACTCAGTGATGTAGAAGATACCTCCCAAAATCAAAAGGCTCATGGAGACACTGAAAAGGTTGACTGAGGCTATATTCTTGAGTTAGAATCAATGTGGGAATTCTGAGCTTGATGATCTCAATGCCTAATGTAACTTCTGGAGTTGTGTTAGAGGATGTGAAATTGATGCTGGTTATTTCATATTCAATTTTACTCAATTTTATTTTTTAGGTCTCTAAGTTGAGGGAGAAAGAAAAGCAGAGGCATTTGGGAAGAACTACTTCTGAGACTGCTTACTTGTGGAATGGCCTTAAATATCTGCCTGTCTGAAGTGGTTTATGGAATATGGATTACTTTGTTCATGAATATGGATTATTTTGAACCACTGATTCATGAACCAAGACCATTCAAAGAAAAGTGACCAACTAAGTTCCACTCCCTCTGAGAACATTCAGGCAGGTGAGGCCTTGAATGATACTAGGACATTGTAGAGAACGAAGGTAAGACTGCACTAAAATATCAAAACCTGGTTATCATTTAGCGTGTAGAAAAATAAATCAGAACTGATCCGGGGATCTTGGGGACATGGCAGGTGACACAGAGTTGTGCTATTTCACGGTTTTGGGGGTTAAAAATCAAAAGGCAGGTGTTAAAGGGACACGCCACCTCGTATCGTGGGCCGAGCTGAGCAAAGTCCCTCAGCTTGTCTTTGTCCAGCCGGGTGGGCACTTCGATGATATCGTGGGTCTGAAGCTTTATGATCTTTAGAAGGGAAGTAAACATGCTTTCTGGAATAATCTGCAACACCTTCAGTGAAAGGGAAAAGAGGAAAAACAAGTGAACCTCCTATTTTCTCTCTTTTAGTTGACAGACGCTAGGACAACAGTAAAAAGGGTATCCATGTATTAAAAAAAAAGGCCCTGCATCTGTAGGAAAGGATGCTGGGGGCTCTCACAAGCATTATTTTAGTAACTGCTCTCAGGCACAGGGCTGCGTTCCTTCAAACACGAATTGCTCACAGGAGATAAAGCTAATTCTCATAGAAATGCTGTAAAGGATGTATCCCTCCCACATTATAAATTTTTCAAAAGCTGAAATTCAGAGATGTTAGGTAACATGGCTATAGAGCCTTCAGCTAGTATGTGACACAGGACAATTCTGAATCCAGGCCTGTGTGGCTCTAAGTTACACCTTAAGTTACTGAAACAAGGACCAAAATTCTCCTGAAAACTTTAAGTTCCAATTAGTCACAGTTGCCAGCTGTGACTTTGAAGAAGCTACCAAGATCTAAGTTTCTCAATCTCTACACCTATAAAATGGGGGTTAATGCCATCACCATTTAAAAAATAAGTATACAAGTTCTTTGAAAGTAAAAACATATCTGCACACCCACAGTACCAGTAAGAATAAATTTATTTTCAGGTACTGAAAATTTCTGGAATCAAATTAAGAATTAAGGAAAAGTATATACAACTACTATGTATACAACAGATATACAACAAGGACCTACTACAGAGCAAGGTCTTGAACTGAATCACTTTGCTGCACACTTGAAGCTAATACATCATAAATTAAATACACTTCAATAAAAAAGAGGAGTAAGGGAAAAGAATAACAGGTGTACTTTTTTCAGGGCCCCAAGCACATCATTTGTATTTAAAATAGGAGTTAGTTTGCCATTAAAATAAGTATCACCTTGATGCATTTCTTACCTTTCTCACATAGGACACCAATTCACCAGAATAATATTGAGACACGCTGAGAAGGTCAGGGCTATTTGCTTGATTAATACGGAGAAGGGGCAGGTCAAGGGCAGAGGCAAGCTGGAAGGAAAATAAGACACCACTGTTTCCCTGTTTCAAAAAGTCCTAGAAATCTCTCTTTCTAGAAGCGGTAACATACAATGAAGTTCCTAGGCTTCGCTCAAAAGATAGCAACAACGACTGAACTTCATCAGTTCACAGTTTCTGACAAGGTTATAATGTAAAATGACAGTTATCTGCTACGGTAGTGGCTCTCAAGTTGTGGTCGCTGGACCAGCAGCGTCAGCATCACCTGAGATCTTGTTAGAGATGCTGATTCTCGAGCCCCACGTAGGTTTACTTCATCAGAAGCTCCGGGGGTGGGGCCCGGCAATCTGGGCTACTAACCATCTTCCAGGTGATTCTCCTGCACACTCAAGTTTGAGCCACTGAGCTATAGAAGGCAGCTACTTCTTTATGGAGATTGGACATTCTGATTGATAGATTACTACACTGAGTCTAATCTAAGATGATATGGCTTGTAAGAAGTGCCATTATTTGATGCACTGCTCAGAAAAAAAAAACCACACATGCTGACAACTAAATTATGGTATGCCATCATCTACAACCTATCTCAGTCACAGAAATGTTAAAATATGAAAGTGCCCCTCAGACTTGATATATATGGTAATTTCATCAGAAGACATCGAGTAAATTATTTGTCCATTTATCACTAAATGAAATTACCTTGAGAGAAGGGCCAATCCATGCCTGTTTTATTCACCATTATTACCTAACCTTTTTATTTTTAAATTTTATTTCTTGGCTGAGCCATGTGGCATGTGAGATCTTAGTTCCCTGACCAGGGATTGAACCCATGTCCCCTGCATTGGAAGCTTGGAGTCTTAACCACTGAATCACCAACAGAGTCCCCTTCCCTAATCTTTATAGGAGATCCTAGAATATAGCAGAAGCTCAACAAGAATTTTTTTAAGTGAATAAGTAAAAGGATTTTATTCATGTCTAGGGAATAAAGGATGTACATTTTTAGTATATTGGTAAAACTTATAAAAAATCAATTTCTTCATTAAAAATAATTTTTGTAAGACATTCCAACATCTATTATGAATTTAAACTTTATTTCTCATATCTTTTGCCAACCACACGCTCATGAAAAATTTGCTAAAAGTTTTCAGTTTATAAAAATACTTAAAATTGTCCAACTTTCTAAAAGGATGAGATCTTGGACTGAATTAATGAATGAGGTAAAAATGAAGGTCAACACTTGCTCGGAAACTGCAAATGTGATCTTACTGTTACTTGCTTACCTTGAGGAATGTAGCTCTGAGTTTAGTGACCATGGATGGGTTCACCCTTATGCTCTCCTGCATGATAGATGTGAAACTGCAAAAAGATATCAGTGGTAAGATGATGTTCACAGTTGCTTCCATCAAGGACTAACGTCAGGTTGTCCACATTACCTGTCAATTAACTGCCAAGCAAAAGAAAGGTCCCCAATGATCTGCATTGTGATCAGGACTTCCTCTTTGATGTTAATGGTTCGGATCATTTGGTGGAGAAACTTTCGAGTATCAGCAAGAAACTGACACACCTGCAGATTTGATTCCAGCTGGTGAAATTCTTGAACCTGAGGTACATAAACACACTGGATTTTAACATTCTGAACGCCCTGCATGGTGTTCATTTTTCTTTGAAAATACTTCAAATAAAGCGTAATACTTAACTAATATTCTTGGCAAAATTTTAATTTCAAATTATAATTTCAGAAATGTACAAGCCAAGTCAGAAAACAATGTATATATTTCTAGAATTAGAAAATGTTCCACTATTGCTTATTCCATACATGTATAACATAATAAGAAATACTCCCATTTTCCACTTCAATATCAATAAATATATACTGGAAAATTCTAATTCTGCAGATTTGCTGGCTTGCTAAAAAACAAAATAAGTCATGCCACAACCAAGGAGTGGGCACTTGTACATTTTAAGTTCTTTTGATGAACTCTTTAATAAATAATGATTCCACAGTGTTCTGACATTTTAAACTATATTCAGTAGGCATGCACTACAAGCCAAAAGAAATAATGTAAAAGAGAAAAAGCACCCCAGATTTATAAAGTTGTTTAAAGTTGTACTATTAACTAGAAAATCCAAAAACAACCAAAATAGAAACAGCACAAATGAGCAATTGTTCCGGAATGGTTATGGAAACTGGCATGCTAACAATGGAGCATTATACTATGCTGCTGTAATAGTGGGCATCCTAAAACACTTGCAAAAATAAGAAAGAGCTTATAAGAAAAGGATTAATGCGCACATTTAAATCGGACAGGGTTCCAGGTGAGGATGGATCTTTTTTTTTTTTTAGATAATACAGTATATGCTTATTGTTCTGATCCTTTTGTTTATTTTCCTGGTTAAACATACAAGTTTTAAAGGTGTGAAGGTAAGATCCTCCTTTGACAGTCATTTTTCAGTAGATAAAAAACAAACTTTTCTTTTCCACAAAACATCATTTTTAAGCATATGATCATTATACAACTATTTTTATATTTGTGTATCTTTTTCTAGGTTTTCCCCCAAGGCACACATTTTTTACAAACCTAAAAATGGTACATATAATGGAAATTTGCTTTTGCTTTTACCTCCTTATCATAGTTTTCCCAATGTCTCTATATTGTCTTCATGATTAGTTTTTCAAGACTATACACAGGTTTCTGCAAGTTGAAATATCATAAATTTCACTACCATTCTCTTTATTATCATTTAGTTATTTTCCCAATTTTAGGGCACTGTATATAATATCACAGTGAATATATTCACTTACACTGCTTTTACTTCTGATGAAATAGTCTCTTAAATATATTTCCAGGACTGCTGTGTAGGTCAAAAGTATGGTTCATGATCCAAGAACTGTCATTTAAAGACTCTCCTTACCTCTTCCAAAGCCTGTATTAGCTGCACAGTTTTTCTGCCCGCGGCGGTAGAATCATCATAATTTAGTGATAATATTTGTTTTGAAATCTCTCTGAACCAAGCTTGAAGATTTTCTATTAATATAGAAACAAGAAAAGACTACTGAAATCCTAGAACACCTGTAGCAGTGGCTATGACTTCAATAATCTTTCACAAGTCCAGTTCTGACAAAGCTTCTACTATGTTATCTATCAACTGTTCTCAGGAATTCTCCAAATTGTAACAACAAAAATGTGTGGGGCACATGACCTAGTAAAAGTGATGAAACTTTCTACACAAAGAGTTTATAACACCTGGCAGAAAGGGTGCAAAGGTGGCAGTGGGGGAAGGGAGGGGTTGGGGAGGAATTAAAGGATTATCGTAGAGTTGGGAGGATGGGTAAAGGTCTGCAGGGGCAGACGGGGAGAGGGATTATTTATCTCTAGATGAAGAGACAGACACAGCAGAAGCTTTGGGGCAAAAGAGCAATGGCACGTTTTGGAGGGCAAAGTAGGACCAACGTGTAGGAGAGTGACATGTGAGTGGTGAGCTGTGAGGAGTCTGAATGGATTAGGGGGCGCCATTTGCACTCACAAACCAGCTGGCATTTCTTAAGGCAGAGATGGTGAGTACTGTTAACACGCTCTGAGACCCTCAGTGTATCAGGCAAGGGTTTAAGTGTCGTTTCATCTAACCTTCACAAAAATCTATGGAGTGGAATTAAAAGCCATTTCTCAGGTAAGAATGCTGATACCTTGAGATATGAAGAGCCTCTGTGGCTTAGAGTCACTTAATGGAAGAGCCAGGGTGGGCAAACTGTTCAGAGTCAAAGCCTTTGCTCTTCTCACCTCACCAAGTTAATTAGCTAAAGGCTTTTTCGTATGTCATCAATGGAATGATTTCACTTTAATAAAATCACTTAAAAGTTTATAATCTAAGTTATTTTAAGAACTGACATCTGGGTTCCCTGGTGGCTCAGTGGTTAAAAATTCACCTGCCAATGCTGGAAACATGGGTTTGATCCTTGATCCAGGAAGATCCCACATACTGAGCAACTAAACCCATGTGCCACAGCTACTAGAGTAGCCTCCACTCACCAAACTAGAGAAACGCCTGTGCAGCAACAAAGACCCAGCATAATAAAAAAAAAAGTATATAAAAGTATTAAAAAAAAGAATTGACATAGGGTGGGAGGGAGGTCATGGAGGGAGGGGATATAGGGACACATACAGCTGATTAACTTTGTTGTATAGCGTAAACTAACGCAACATGGTAAAGAAATTACACTCTAATAAAAAAAAAAACTGACATGACATGAAGAAAACTAGTTGCAATTTTAAACATTTTTTTTTTGTAAGACCAAAGGACAGCTATGCTGTAGAAGAAAGAACCAAAAATTTGGAGTCTGAGGTGATGGCTGAGATCCAGGCTTTGTACCTTTGTTACTTTTGGCTAGTGATTACTTTTTAAAGCTTTGGTTTCTGTACACATAAAATAAGGATAAAGATGTTTATCTCACAGGGCTGTAAGGATCAAACAAGAAACATTTGTGACAGTACTTCCTAGCTGAAATATGCTATACAGCCAGAAAAAGTACGGTATATTGTTTTGAATGATCTTTGAAACAATGCTTATATTTATAAGAATCTAAAAGAGACTAGAATAGAGAAATGTGCCTGATTTTAGACAACTTATCTGGTTAGATTGGTACTGGAGGTTCTTTGTTTTTTTAAGATACAATAGGGTGACCTGTGAAACCTGTTGCCAATTTATATTATCATCAAAACTGGCCAACTTTTTTCAATAGGAGGGAATAACTTTCATGATCTTCTCAGAAGTCTACTCCCAAGAATATTAATAACCACTAACACAGATGATACCTAAGAGTCTTGTGTTCCAATCCTGGTTGGTTCTCCGTCACTGACACACCTGCCATCTAGTGGCACAAGAGGGGACTGCAGACTGCTTTTATTTGTGCGTGTATGAACTCAGTTGCTCAATCTTCATGACCCCATGGACTGTAGTCTGCTACGCTCCTCTGTCCATAAAGTTTTTCAGGGAAGAATACTGGAGTCAATTGCCATTTCCTGCTCCTTGGGATCTTCCCGACCCAGGGATCAAAGCCAGGTCTCCTGCACTGCAGGCAGATTCTTTACCATCTGAGTCACCAGGGAAGCCTCAGTAGGAATAATAACAGAATTTAGAAATATATTTTGGATCAACCATTCAGCATCAAATAAATCAACAAGAGCCAAATACAGTAATCACAAGTTTATACTATGAACAGCAGAGTTACACTTTTTAATAAAAATCTATACTATTAACCAATTCTACTGTATAATTAACTTTATCAGAAATAAATCTGACAGTTAAAACAAATATCAAGTCTCAGAAAAAATAGTTTAATTTGTCACCTTAAAACTCAGAATGGTCTTTCAGGGGCAATTCGAAAGGATTCTATCTATACAAAAGTTAGAAGTGCTACCACAATTTTCCTGTAGTTATAATTTCCTAAAAAAGCAAGATCAAAATTGTCAAAGTAAAACTTAAGCTGTGGCTGTGTTGGGCTTCTCAGGTGGTGAATGGTAAAGAACCCACCTGCCAATGCAGGAGACACAGGTTCAATCCCTGAGTCAGGAAGATCCCCTGGAGGAGGAAGTGGCAACCCATTCCAGTATTCTTTCCTGGAAAATCCCATGGACAGAGGGCTACAGTCCATGGGGCTGCAGACTGAGGGACTGAGACACACACGTTGTTTCAAAGCAGTCTGCAGGTCCCCTCTTGTGCCACTAGATGGCAGGTGCGTCAGTGAAGAAGTACCAAACAGGATTGGCGCACAAGACTCCTAGGTATCATCTGTTAGTGGTCATTAATAATGTTCTTGGGAGAAGTATCCTTCTGAGAGGATGATGAAAGTTCTTACCTCCCCCAATGCACATAAAATGACACGCTAAAGGGACTAGCTTTGTATACTGTGGTGGTAGGTGGAGGATTATGACTCTATAAAATACGATTTCTGAACCAGAGTATAAGAAGCCCCAATTTAACCCGCAATTTCTTATTTCATATGTAAGAAACCTGAAGTCGAGAGAGAATATGAGATTTCCCAAGGCAGCACAGGGCTAGGGCAGCCAAAACTAAACTTCTGATCTTCATCGGCAACATCCCAGCACACAGTGACAATGCAATAATGAGTTTTTACTCTGCTGGTTTCTAATCAACTGTGTACACATTTCAAACACACTGATGTTTCCTCTATGGCAATTACCATTTTTCTCCACTCTGGTTAAGGGTTTGACTCCTGAAAAGACATCAGCAAGCTCCGTCATCCGCTCTGAGCCCTCCTTCTTGTAATGCTCCCATTTGGCCTGCTTTTCTGAAAGCATTTGCTTGAACATCTGTTGAAGAGACAGAAGAGATTTACTGATTTTTAAAAGAAAATCCAGCTTAGGCATTTTACTAAGAAAGTCTGAGTCAAACCCAGTTTATTATTAAAACAGGTACTTAAAATCAACATCATTCTGATGCCATCTCTTAAGCATCACTACTTTATACAAATTGGGGGGTAAAAAAGCTAGATCATCTCAGACGGTGGCTCTCAGACTAATTTAGGCAAAGTGAGTGTTGGTTCTGAATGAACTTCAAGGTCTGGGGCTAGTTCCAGAGGCCACCTGATCCAAACCCCCAAAGTTTCTGTAGAACCTGGACACCCCAGGTGTCTGCCATTTTTATCATGCCCATGTGATGTGCTTAGTCGCTCAGTCATATCTGACTCTTTGCAACCCCATGGACTGTAGCCCACCTGGCCCCTCTGATTATCCAGGCAAGAATACTGGAGTGGATTGCCATGCCCTCCTGCAGGGGATCTTCCCAACCCAGGGATCGAACCCAGGTCTCCTGTATTGCAGGCAGATTCTTTACCATCTGAGCCACCAGGGAAGCCTAATTATGCCCATGGGGCCTTTTCAAGGAGTAAAACCAGCACAGAATTTCCTTTTGTGAACTCAAATCCCTTAAAGTCCTTAGGTCAACCTTGTTTAAATGCAAACTACCACCTTATTTAGGCCTTTCCAATGGGTTTTCATGGCTTGTAAGATGAAGACTAATATCCTGTAAGGCCCAGCACAGGCTGGCTCCTGCCCACCTGTCAACCTCGCTTCCTAACACCTTTCTGTTCTATTCTCTCCCCTCAGCTGATCTTTTGGGCCCTTGAACTGGCCAGGCCCTTCTCTACCCAAGAGGACTGAGACAGAGTCTGTCCTCCTGTGCAATGTTCTCCATCAGGCTCCCCAGCTCTGTCTCAGCTAACTCTGGCAGGCCCCTTTCTCAGCTTCCTTCAAAAGCTCCTGCTGCCCTTCTCAGGGAGGTCATGAAAGCTAGGACAGGTCCTCTGCTTTAGGTGGAGAACTGTGTTCCTCTCCTTTAGAGCATACACCTCAGCTTTTATTTACATTTTCATCTGTGTAATTCTCTGTTTACTATCCACATTCCTCATTACACTGTAACCTCCATAATCCGGGACATTTTTTCCCCATCACTGTATCCCTAAATGACAGTACAGACTAAATACCTGTTAAATGTTTAATCCCGTCCTTTGAAAATAAGAATTATCTCAGACAGCTAGAATCTTTAGCTTGAATCAAACACAGTTACAAAATCCTAATTTCAAAAAAAAGAAAAAATTTAAGCATTAAGAAAAGATTTTGGTGGTTACTTATTCAATATTTTTACCTCTTTGAGTATAAACTCAAATTGTGCGGTATCCAACAGCAGTTGAAAGAGGATCTTGGGATTGTACCTAGAGTCTGTTAGAATCTGGTCCTTGATTTGACGAAGGCGTTTGTTGTTTGGGTCACAGGCTAGACATGGGGAGAAAAGAGTTTCCAATTTACTAAATGCATAGAAAATACCTATAATAAGTAAGATGGATTCTTAAATACTTTCATTTCCCTTCTTTTAAACATTTAAAAAGTAAGCAAAATATATATCAAAAATGATGGATGGTAAAATAAATTATGTTACATCTATGCTGGAGGTAGTACAATTGAACTGCCAACTATGACACTGAATCTGACACAGAATGTCATTGTGATATACTGTTGAATGAAAAAAAGCAAAGTGAGAACAGTGTTTCCAAATTTTGTAAGTATCCTGTGGTTGGTTTACTATCGACTGTCCATGGGTCAGTGCCTTTGGCACTAATGATGGGTCGAGGCTTTTGGCACTATTTCCTAAGTAGGTGGCCTCCTTGTGTCCTGTCTGTTTGAAGTTGCTTTGTGTTGGGCACTGATCTCTGCCATTCAGCTATGCACAGGTGTGCAGAAAAGATTTAACACAGAAGGCCTGAGACTGCCATCTTCAAAAAGGCCTATTTGCAAGGTTGGCTCTTGGCTGGCATTCGGGGATTTGGATTTTGGAAGGGTTCCCACCATTTTGAGAACTGATAAGAATGGTCCACCATGCTTTAACTCTTTGTACAAACAATGTGCTTTATGATGTGCACCTGCTTTCCTTCCGGGAGTCTGGAATTTTGGTACCTGCCAGGTAGAGGCTGTCTTGATGAGTCCCCCACCCCCATCCAAATAAAAAGCATGGACACAGAGTTTGTAATGAGCTTCTCTGGTTGGCATTTTACACATGCTGTCACAACTCATTGCTAGGGGAACTAAATGCACTGAGCGACTCCGCTGGGAGAGGACTCTTGAAAGCTTGTGCCCCGTTTCCTCTAGACTTCACCCCAGGCGCCTGTGCCCTCTGCTGATTGCACCTTTTATCTTTCTCCTGTTGCAAATCACAGCTAAGTACACATACTGAGCCTAATTAAGCAAGGAACCTGGGATGTCCTCGGGGACCACGGACACAACAAGGGGAGCAGGGTCACCACACAGAGATGTGGCACATTCAAACCAGAAGAACCAGGCCTGAGACCATTCTCATGCTCTTTGTAAAGGCATGGCTGATACTCAGAGCTTTCTGGGTTATCCACCAGCTAGACCTGGAGAGTGTATGGCTACTAGGCTAAGGTCACAAAATCAGGCAGTGACTGACCCAGGCATAAGTCACCAGATGTTTTGATTTCCTGGTCAGAGTATCAGTTACCAAGATAAATCATTTCAAATAAAATAAACGTGTTAAAAAAGTATATAGAATAAAAAATACTGATATTTGCTCAAAGTGATTTATGGGGTCAATTATTTATGTTATGAAAGGAAAAAATAGGATAAGGCAAAATATTTATACTTAAAAGCTACTCAAACTGCAAATAAAGTCAAAACAAAGCCTTTAAGACATCTAGGTTGCTTCCAGGTCCTGGCTATTATAAACAGTGCCGCGATGAACACTGGGGTACACATGTCTAAGCTGTGGTACATATACACAATGGAATATTACTCAGCCGTTAAAAAGAATACATTTGTATCAGTTCTAATGAGGTGGATGAAACTGGAGCCTATTATACAGAGTGAAGTAAGCCAGAAAGAAAAACACCAATACAGTATACTAATGCATATATATGGAATTTAGAAAGATGGTAACGATAACCCTATATGCAAGACAGAAAATGAGACACAGATGTATAGAACAGTCTTTTGGACTATGTGGGAGAGGGCGAGGGCAGGATGATATGGAAGAATGGCATTGAAACATGTAAATTATCTATGCGAAACGAATCGCCAGTCCAGGCTCAATGCATGAGACAGGGTGCTCAGGGCTGGTGCACTGGGATGACCCAGAGGGATGGGATGGGGAGGGAGGTAGGAGGGGGGTTCAGGATGGGGAACACGTGTACACCCATGGCGATTCAAGTAAATGTATGGCAAAACCAATACAACATTGTAAAGTAAAATAAACAAACAAACAAAAAGCCTTTAAGACAATCAACATTGTCAGAGAGTTCACAGCCATTAAGGTACCAGGTCCCTCATAGCTGCTCTAGTATCACTGTGCTTGTTCAGGCTTTCTGAGTCCTCCTACCAGCATCTTAGGATGGCCGGCATGTACAGAATGACCACGCTTTACAAGCACGTATCACAGGTGTTTTTGGTGCTTCAGTTATGGTGAAGCTTGAGCAAGGTTATTTTATATATTGATTTCCAAGTTACTCCATCAGGAAAAGACTCATGACAACCTGGAGAAGTGCTCAGTTTTCATGGGAAACTGCAGAGTTCTGATTTACCAAGCATTCTCCATTACTCCCTAGGAAGAAATATATTGGAACTGATGACATTGATCACACACAGACCATTTTTCAGCTTCAGGTTTGCCTAACTTAAAAAACAAAAACAAAACAGGAAAAAAAAAAAAAAAACAGCCCAACCTGTAAGGAGTTCCATTTGTTTTTCTATTAACTCTAGTTTAACACAAAATCTGATGTTAATTTCCTTTCATTTTTGGAAGGAAGCATCACTGCACATTAACAATTAGCTTCAGTGGATTAACAGGAGGGAATATGAGAAATACACCTTCCTTTCTGCACACCATGACCAAAACACCATAAAAGCTAAATAAGCAGTTAGTTTTCCCACATATGACTCACAATCAGATAGGCAAATCATTTGTTTCTGGTAAATTCTGACCTTGTGCAATCAGATCAGATAATTGCCAGCTCAGAAATGGAAAACAGATGTGGCTGAAGATAAAAGCATAGAACTCTGGCAAGCTGAGCCGGTCGCTGGCAGGGGCACAAATCCAGGAGACCACTGGCTTCCAGAACACAGGCACGGCTATTGGGCACAGTCATCGGAAGACAAAGAGGAGGCTGAGTCACTAGAAACCCAAAGTTGGCTTTATGATGGGATAAAGTGAGGGCTTGAGTTGTTTACATGCTTCTGAATGTAAGACTTATGGTAAAGATGATTATAAGCTGAGTCAATGTAGTAAAATTCTCAAATTAGGACTGGATTTAAGTAAAACATAAACTTGACTAGTTAAAGATTAGTCGATGAGATGATTAAAAACTTTGGCCCTGATATTCACGCTGTGATTAAACGGTAAATGGAGAGAGGTCCAGGCCAAAAATCAAAATGATGAAAAACAAAAACAAAACTGGAAAGCAGCACTCATGTGAAGGGTTTAAGCAGCTGGCCACTTCTCGCGTGAAGGGGGAGGCTGAGGAGAGACTCCCCATGAAGGATGAGGAAGTGCACCTGCTCTTCTCACTGCTGAGCACCCTCAGGAAGCAGAGACAGGTGGCAGCTAGAGGCAGTGTCGAGGGCACCTTGCCCGGAGGGGCTGGGAGACGGATCTACCCTGTTACCCAGGGAGGACGCAGGATCATTTGGCATGGACAGGCTTTTTTTTGAGAGACAACCTCACCTGAAAAAAACCAGGAGGTATTGAAAGTAGGACTAGGGTAGATGCTCTACAAAAATGTGTTGAGTGAAAAACAAAAACGAGAGCCTTGGCTTTCCAGGACTGCTGAATGACAGCACTCTTAGGCAAAGGAGTGTGCAACTCCGGATGAGGGAGCTCATTAGTAATTAATACTGATCAAGCATTTATTAAAAATAAGTATAAGGAACTGTGTTGGCTCTGAATAAGCTCAGGTGTTGGTCCAACCTAAGTAGAACCAGTAAACCAGCGGTTTCAAAGTCATGGGCTTATGGACTCTGCGGAAGTGTTTTACATGATCTGTGAAGCTCCCTTGACAGACAAAAGGGTATCCAATAGGACTAACCATGACCCAGAAAAAATTAAAATCTCATCTATCTTAATTAAGCACTCTGATCTAGCCAGTTCCTCAGCAAAGTGGGCCCACATTTTTCTGTCCTTCCTTCTGTCCTTTCTTTGGTCATTTCTCCAGTCTAGATTTTTTTCTGCTTTTTACTGTGAAATCGTACCAAGGGCTGGTCAGCTCCTGCCTTCCGTGAAGAGCCTTCCTCCACCCCTCCACCCCAAGCAATGTTTCTCTCCTGTTCTGGACTCCAGACTCAAATCCCCACCAACTGTCTGTTTTACACATCTGGCTCTTCGGTGCTGGCCTGGCCTTTTAGCTGTATTAGCTTCTTATCGCTGCTGTAACAAACTACCATAAACTTAGTGTCTTAACATGATACAAATTTATTCTCTCATAGTTCCAGAGATGAGAAATCTGACTGGGCTTCACTGGGCTAAAATCAAGGTATCAGTGGGGCTGTGTGATTTCCAGGGGGAAACTGTTTCCTGGTCTTTTTCAGCATCTAGAAGCTGCCTGTACTCCTTGGCTTGTGGCCCTCTCCATCTTGAAAGCCAGCAGGGACCTCCTGAGTCTTTTTCATGCCATCTGTCTAGTTCTGATTCTTCTGCTCCCTCTTCCCAATTTAAGGATACTTGTAATTATGCTGGGCCCACTGTGATAATCTCCTTACTTGAGGGCCAGCTGATTATAGAAACATCAACTCCATCTGCAACTTGAATCCACTTTGCCCTGTAATATAACATGCCCGAAGGGTCCAGGGACTAGGCCATGGACATCTTTGGAAGGGTGAGGTGGGAAGGCTTTATTCTACCTGTATTTGCAGCTACACTTTTTCATGGGTAGACATCTGATCTTCCCAGTCTGACCAGTGACGAGCTCCTCGAGCCTGGAAGGGAGGTGTCCTCACACTCCCAAGCACCTAACAGGACCTGCTGGCACCACTTTCAGGTGGGCCACCGCTTTGTCCAAACTGACATAAAAATGACCACCTTACAGAAGCAACTTGATTCTCATTCAAGGGCTAAACCACTTGGCATCATGGGGCAGATCAGGGTTTGGCACGCCTATATATGGAGTGATACACATGGTCACGCCTTTTGTGTGTTACCTGAGTCCGCCGTATGAAGCATCAGCCATCGGATGGCGACATTGCCATCTCTCAGGCAGTTCAGAAGCCTCGGGATGTTGTCCAGGACCAGCTCCTCCCTCAAGTAACCTTCTTTCAGGAATTGATGCACTTGTGCGTGCACCCTTTCACTGACAGTAGCGTATCTGCTTGCCTGTGAAAAGGAAAAGAAAACCTGAGTAACATTTCAAAGAAAGAATCACCTTGAAAGTGAATCATATTCAAATGAATCCCTGGATAAATAATATTTCTATATGAGACAAATTACATACAGGCTCCAAAATCACTGCAGATGGTGACTGCAGCCATGAAATTAAAAGGCACTTGCTCCTTGGAAGAAAAGCTATGACCAACCTAGACAGTGTATTAAAAAGCAGAGACATCACTTTGCCAACAAAGGTCCATCTAGTTAAAGCTTTGGTTTTTCAAGTAGCCATGTATGGATGTGAGTGTTGGACCATAAAGAAGGCTGAGCACTGAAGAATTGATGCTTTGAACTGTGGTGTTGGAGGAGGCTCTTGAGAGTCCCTTGGACAGCAAGGAGATCAAACCAGTCCATCCTACAGGAAATCAATCCTGAATATTCACTGGAAGGACTGATGCTGAAAATGAAGCTCCAATACTTTGGCCACCTGATGTGAAGAGCTGACTCATTAGAAAAGACCCTGATGCTGGGAAAGATTGAAGGCAGGAAGAGGAAGGGACAACATGGTTGGATGGCATCACTGACTTGAAGGACATGAGTCTGAGCAAGCTCTGGGCGACAGTGAAGGACAGGGAAGTCTGATGCGCTGCAGTCCTTGGGGTCGCAAAGAGTCAGACACGACTGAGCAACTGAACAACAACAACAACAAAGGCAAGTGGTTTATTGGACATCTGGGGCTTTTTCCTTCTTTATTTTTTAAAAGTTGTTTTTATTTGGCTGCACTGGGTCTTATTTACGGCACACTGGATCTTTGATCTTTGTTGGGGCAAGCTGGATCTAGTTCCCAGACCAGGCCTCCAACATTGGGAGCATGGAGTCCTAGCCAATGGACCACCAGGAAAGTCCCTATTGGACATTTTCGCAAAAAGCCCTGGACTTAGAATTGAGAGGCAAACATCTAGAAATATTGGTATGACTTTGGATTTAACCTCTGAGTATTGGCTTCTTCAGATGTAAATTGGAAAACTGGAACATTGTTTCCCTGGCATTGCTTCTCTTAACTTGGATGTAAACAGACACAAAGGCAGAAGCTAAATTGCTTGTTCTTCCTATTATTATTGACAAAGGAGCTAGAGCAGGCAGAAACACTCAAAAGATGAGTATGTACACACAAGAGCTTAATAAAATACACCTCAGCACATCAAAATTGACCGACCTTGTGTGGAAATCTGGTCACTCTGCTTTCCTAAAGCAAGAATTGAATGGCAGACACGATCAACCTTGTCAGGTTAGTTTAAAATAAGTACAAGATGTGTCATTAGAAGCCTCTTAAGAACTTGCAATGTCACGGATGAGAAGATGTGATTTTGGAAAGGAATTTTAGTTATGAAAAATTAATGCTCTGAGGCCGGAAAGCATGGAAACGCCACTTTTTCTAATATATTTCTGGGAAATATGCCAAAATTGAAATTATTTTGTGCATTATTTATGGAATTTGATTTGTTTGAATAAAACATGCTGAAGCTCCTTGAGTCAGTATCACTCTATCCACACTTGGAAACTCAAAAACTCAGACAGCCAGGCTGAGGAAGACCATCAGTGTTGAGAAGTATCAAGTATGTGCCCCATGAGAAAGATTTTGTTTTGATTGTTTTGTTTACTTAGGTATTTCCTTCTGCCTTGGTTCATCAGAGAGACAGAATGTAGCCATTTCAACTTTAAGGAGATGACTGTCTTTATTTTGGTTTTGGTGCTTACTTCACACGCCAGAAATGATGAGCATAAATTATAGTGAAAGGGTTGACTGTCTATATCCAGTTACCATCTCCAACACTCAATCCTACTGATGAAAACATTAAAATTCTGGCTTCTGGGGAAAGGAGCTCTGTCCATGAGGACACAGTCTTTGAGAAGAGTAAATGAAGTCGCCTGTGGCCAGATGCCACACTAGTTCATCTTAGGTTAGGGTGCTGAATCTTCCTTCGGACCCAGATCTCCCATTTATACAGCTCACGTAAGTCAAAAATCTATAATTATCTCTTATTTCAATATTCAAAATTCCCCTTTCATTAGTCATTGCACTAAAACATCTACGTAGGCATCTTCCAAACGCTTGGGAAATCTACTTAGCTCATTTCCCACCCCATTACATAAGCATATAGTTGAGAATCCTCATGATTAACCAGAACCTACCTGTTCTCTGACATTTGAAAGGTCCAGGGTATTGTTTAAAGCAGTTTTTGCAGCTTTGTAAGGTTCCCAAGCATCTGCTAGATTAACCGTGATCCCCATGTAAATACTAATTACCTGAAAGAGGAGACCTTTATTCAATATTTGTTAAACACCTACTCACTCCAAGGCAAGGGGCTGGGAAAATACAAAGTTATAGGAGACATCAGCCACTCCTTCAAGTTTAAATGCCATTCCAGTGAAAAACCAAGACTTTTCAAATATATAGGGAAGTGCTTTTACTTATGAGTGCTTAGAAACAAGAGTGACTATTACATGCTGTATTATATATATACCCATGACTATATTCATGAGAAAATAACGAAAACAAGGTTTTCTTTTCAAACTGCTGTTTGTAAGATCCCTAGATGAAGAAAAATGAAAGGGGAGAGAAAAGCAGAGACTCTGACCAGAGTGGTGGTTTTCCCAATTATTTTCATCTCAAATTTATACTCTTAAAAATCAAACTAAACTTGTCTCAAAAATCTTTGTGAGTGGCCTTATGTTTCACATTTCTTTTAAAAATTATATATAATCCCTCTTTATCCCTATTAATATTTTTCTTTAAAATTCTTTGCAGTATAGTATTAACCTCATTGGCTTTTTATGGGTATATTTTAAAAAATTCCTTTATTTTCAATATGCCAGGGTGTCTTCTCAGGAATATATCTTGTAAATATCATGTAATTGGACTTTGACCTTCTTTAATGCTAAAAGTATTTCGAGTATAGTGTTATAGTCAGAACTTCTTTGTTAAAACTTAGGCAAATGAACCCAGACTCTCTCAAAAGTTTTCCTCTTGGCTACTCATCTCCCAGCTCATGGGTATGATTCATTTGTGGACAGGAAGCATCCTCTTTTAATAGTAGGCTGTTCTTCTTGACAGTAAAGCTCCTCAATCAGGTCCCTCATTACAGATAGTCTGTGGCTCAATACTTGGTAAGGAGTGAAATAAAATCTGGTCCCTGAAAATGTGATCCAACTCACTATGTGTTGTTCAAACCTCTACATGCAAAGAAAATGTTTCATACATATTAAGTACACTGTCAGTTTTAAACTTTTAAGAATTAATATTTTTAAGTGAAATATGTTTAAAAAGTTATAAGCTCATCCCTGCAGTAACATAAACCTTAAAAAGCACAATTCCTATTCACAAAATGACAAACTAGATAAATTCTGCCAGTTTAGATTCGTAAGACAAAAGTACACTGTCAGTTTTAAACTTTTAAGAATTAATATTTTTAAGTGAAATATGTTTAAAAAGTTATAAGCTCATCCCTGCAGTAACATAAACCTTAAAAAGCACAATTCCTATTCACAAAATGACAAACTAGATAAATTCTGCTAGTTTAGATTCGTAAGACAAACACTTATGTAACTTAGTTGCACTCAGTAGCTAAAGCAAGATCCATTTTAACACATGGTTGTTCTACCTTGAGACTATTCATTTAAGAAAAAAAACACAAATAGGTGCTTCAGGAAATTTTACTGATTCATTCCTTCATACTATGATTTGTAATATTCTCAGCATACTTAAAGTAATTTTACTTAAGCGAATTTATGTTTCATTATTTCAACATTAGATTTATAGGCAAAAGGATGGAAAAAAATCAGTTCTCCAACAAGTTTATTATAGAGAATAAAAGACTAACAGCAATACTTGCCCAATTATCTGGAAAGTATTTGTCCACTATCTCTCTCATTTTTGCTTGATGGGTATGAAGAATGGAAGGTTCAAAGTAGAGAATCACATACAGCATGGCAGCCTGATTAGCCAGAGCTGTGCTGCGATGTTCTGGCAATGGGTATGCTGAGACCTGCAAGGCAGAGACCAGAACCAGGGGAGGCAGATGTTACTGACAGCTGAATTTACATGTGCGAAGTAAATGACCCAGTTCTAAGACACATGAACCTCTCAAAAGTCCATCTCTTTGAGGATCCTGGACACTGGAAGCAATTCTCAGATTATGGCATCAGTAACCAGGACCTTCTTCCTATCTCTAGCCACATGACGTTCTCTTGACTGTCCTTGACTTTGCTGCAATTCTCTTTTCCCTTAAAAAAAAAAAATTAATTCTATATCTCTTACTGTCCAATTTTGTGTCTCTTTCATCACAGAGAAGCTCTTATAGAACTGACCAATTCTGCACTCACTGGTGCTATCTTTTACTTCCTGTTTATTCTCCAGCTCATTGGCATTTGACCTCCACCATCACCTCAATGGGGTTAAAGACCCTGATGCTGGGAAAGACTGAAGGCAAAGGAGACGGGGGAGGCAGAGGATGAGCTCGTGAGATGCCATCACTGACTCAATGGACATGAATTTGAGCAAATGCTGGGAGACAGCAGAGAACAGAGGAACCAGGTGAGCTAGCCCATGGGGTCACAAAGAGTCGGACGTGACCTGGTGACTGACCACCACCACCTATCACCTCAATGGAATTCCCTCAGGTCACACATAACCTCACGGCCATCCATTTCAATGACCTCCTTTTAGCACTCTCGCTTAAATTTGCCGAGGACTGAAATTCTCTCCTCATCTGGTTTCCCAGATGCCAGTTTCTCCTCTCAGTCTGCTTTGCCGGGTGGTCTCCCTGGCTTTGAAATGCTGCTGAGTCCCAGGGCTCCATCGCCGCAAATATTAGGAATCTCTGGCTGCGCATAGTACACATCACCGTGAGGACCAGGAGGAGAAAGGGAGGCAACTATTAAGGATAGCCAGCAATGTCGCATGGAATCTGGAGGCAGGAATGCGGTCAGGTCTCAGGAAGGGCCTGGAGCTGTGAACCAGAAAGCCTTCATTATTTCTCCCCTGAATGTGATGCTCAACTGTTTCTTCAGCTGTGGTCCATAAGATGGCAGACTGAGGTGGCCCCAAACTCCAAGTTTTGCATGCTGTGGGTAAATCCACGTCCAGAAATTGTTTTTCAGGCCCAATTCCATATTACCTGGAGACAGAGAATCTGATCTATCTTGGGTCAAGTGACCTGCCCTGGTCCAGTTGGCCGGGCAGAGGGGAGGTGCAGGGCCGGGAGGGGTGGAGTCACAGCACAACCACAGCTCAATCCCTGTGTTAAAGGTCATGGCACAGGGAGAAAATCGAAATACACAGCCTTGAGACATGGACAAAATGGACCACCTAGGAGGCAGAAGGGTTAACAGAAGGGTTAATGAGAGGCAGTTGAAGCAACAGCATGGGCTTTGAAGTCATAGGCTTTGAAGTCATGGGCTCTGAATTCAAATTATGGTTCTGCTACCTACTTACGTGACCTTGTGAAAATTACTTAAGCTCTCTAAGCCTTATTTTTCTCCATAGCAACATAAGGATAATGCTCTTTTGCAAGACTATTATGAAAAACAGAGAAAATTTTATATGGAAAAAACCACCTATGATTCGGGCTCATACTCAATTCTTAATAAATGGCATCAAATATTATAGAGACCTGGCATCTGCAGGTAGCTCCTGATTTGAGCTGTATTTTTAAAAACTAACTAAAAACTCTTTATGTACACTTAACATATTCATACAAAAACTAGCAGTCTACCTAAGAACTGTATAGAACAGGTGTGCTCTGTAATAGATGATATCCAGTCACTACAGGTCCAACTCTTCACTCTCTTCTAGTTAAAAAAGAAACAGATAATATATACAACTGTGCTTTCTGCAGGAAAAAGAAGTCAAATGGTAACTTTCTGTGGTATCCTTTTAGGCACCTGAATAACACACACTGGAGAGGAAAGTGAGGCTTTTCAACCCCGCTCACGCTGCCTCCTTTACCTGGGTGGCCTGAACACCCCTTAGTCATCTGCTGCAATCTTGCTGCCTATTAACATGCTTCGTGGCACTCTGTGCTTCCCCTGAGATAATACCCATCTTGCTTTACTCTAATTCCTCTGTCTGCCTTCTTTCCTCAGCTACAAGCTCATTATGAGTAGGGACCAGGGCCTGCCTTCATCAGCAGTGGATCCCCATTACTGAACACAGGACAGCCACAGAGTGGACACTCAGCAATCATTTCTTAACTGATGCCTAAAACAACACATCTTCTTCCCAAAGATAGTTCAGATCTCATTTCCTTCTTGAAATCTCTATTTCAAGAGATATTAATCTCTTAATCTCAAATTAATATCCCTCTTTTCTGTACAATTCCAAAGCACAGCCCAGAGGTTTTAAAAGGTTTCTTGCTGTTTTTACTCTTCTGAGCAAGAAGGAAAGAAATAATTGAGGAGGAAGGTAAAATCTATAAAGAGAAAGATTTTTAAATTATACTTTTAAACTATAAAAATAGGTTTAATAATAGATTAAATTCCCACCTGGTTGTAAATATCATCAGATCTCAGCCGACCAATGACCATGCTGATGAAGGTCTCGTTGATAGGCACCCTTTGGAAGTAACTCTCAGGATAGTTGGGTGGTCTTTTGGCCCCTGGTTGGCTGGAATAACCTGTACTTCGAAGCAGCTTACAAATATCATCCATATTCGAATCAGCAGAAGATCGGGCAGCACTGAGCCATGTTCACAATGGGAAATAAAGGGCCAAACAAACAGCATATGTTACAAATAAGAAGTCCAGCAAAGCAGAATTTCAGTATAAATTGACTTTATATAGTTTTAGATATGAGTGGATCAATTTATATCCTTAAGATTCAAAACTATATTTTCAAAAAGCCTGTAATATAGCAAACTTTTAAGATGGGTTCTTGTACGTAGATACAGTTTTATGTAAAGGTCCATGACCCCTTTCCCAAAATCCTTGGGGCAGGATTTGTTTTGGAGACAGCATTTCTCAAATATAAGGAAGTAACATGATACATACATCATATATAATACTTCAGCAGGGTGGCAGATGGCATTCCATGATCAAGACACATTAATGTTTCTACAGTAAAATCTATGAACATTCACACAAATGAGATAAATAAAGACTGCCCATAGCCTCATATATGTGCCAGTCAGGTTCTGACTCCAAATTTTGGATTAGGTTACGTCTTGCTGCCAAAGTAGTTACTCTGTGTGCATGTGTGTATATATATATATTTCTGTTGGAGCCCTTTGGATTTCAGAATTGTGGATAAAGAATGTGAACCTACACCAACATTTCATACATTTAAAAATAATTTTAAAAAATAAAGTCAAATTCAAGTGGGATATACCAACTGGTTTTTCTTGGCAAGGTGTACCTTCTACAGAGATTTAATCAAACATCTGTGATTTTTCTGGTGGTTTGAAGTAGTAAATCTGCAAAGAGACTCAGTCTTAGACCTGAAGATGACCTCCTATCTGACGTGAGAATCTCCATTACTTCAGCTCTGACTGGAAACTGTCTGGTATCTCTTCAATAATGGATCCTCACAGCCTAATCAATTAGCTGTTGTACCCAAAGGGACAAAGCTGGATTGTCAAAGCTGGGCTTGATGAGCAAACCTCTTTCTTCTTCTTCATGTTACTGTTTTCGTTTTTTCAGGTACTTTCAGAAACAGAGGCAAGACCATTTGAAGCTCATTTAAAAAAATATGGATAGTAAAACTGATGTGAATGAATTACGCAGCCTCACGCTCTGATAGAGCTGAAAGGGAACAGGCGAGCTGAGTAGTCTGATTTACAGCTGAGAAGGCAGAGTACCAAGTGTGGCTGCAAATACAACACCGCCCAGACAATCCCCCTCTGTTGAGGATCTGACTCTCTGCCCTGTTTATTCTGTCCTAATTTGCAGGTTTGAAAATGTTCATTCTAGCCCACGCTTCTGTAGCCCAAGTTCCTAAACAATTCCTGCTTCTTGGTTATTTCTTTCCTGAATCTTAACTATTTCTCACATTGACCTGGTGTCCAGATTTTGACTCATTATTTCAACAAACTGAAAAACGTGTGTTAGGGACTGAACTCACAATTAGTTAAGGTAGGTCCTGTTTTTAAGCCCTTATTTCTTGAAGTCACATCTCACAGAAAAACCCACATGAACTTTTTGGCCAACCCAATACAGTATTGATGAGTGAGAATTCACTTTCAACCTGGCCCTGAATGGGAACTTTTCACAATGTATCAATCTGAAAAATGACAACAGAAGGCTCATGTGTGTCCTTACATCTGCCAAGGACTAATGTTCGAAAACTTAAAAAAAAAATCCATGAGACTTCCCAAATCCCCAAATTTTATCTTTAAGGTAACAGAAATCCAGATTCCTCTTTTAAAAAACTGAGGTACCATCACAGACATGATAATCCATGTATCTCTAATAATCTATAATAGATAAATTATCCATAGATAATACATAGATTATATGATACATAATCTATTGTGATGATATAAAACACAGATTGTTATATTTCCACATTATGTATTATGTTCAGCAGTGATAAGAATCTTATCTTCTGCATTCGAGATGATATTGCTGCTGTTCATAATAAAAGAAGGATAGGAAATCTACACCGCACTTTACCAAGAGCAGTGCTTTTGGAGGCGTGGCCTTAGCTCAGGGGTACCTGTATCGATAGTAAGAGACCAGCATTCTCTCTCTAGTTTCTCCTTCAATCTTTTGGTCGATGACCAGAAGCATAACTCCGTACAAGTACAGCGCTTCACACTATAAGAGAAAAAGAGAGCAGCCATGTTCACGGGAGTACGCAGGCTTACGCCGTACAGCTGAGGATGGGTAAAGGACTCCTTTGCTCTCATTTCTCCTAAAAGCTTCATATTGCAAGGAGAATGCAGGATCCTCCCCCCAAAGGGTCTCATCTTCTGTACAGATGGGCTTTAAAACATTTATGCAAAGTTTAATTTACAATGACTATCTTTCAGCTGGTCTATTTTTCATAATTTGCTTGGGATACCAAAATAGAATCCAAAGACTATGAATACCTTTAGGTCATTCATTTATTTTACAAACATTTCCTAAGTGATCACCAGGTAGTAGGTACCAGGCTAGATGTCTAGGATGCAAAAGATAAAGAAGATAGGACTGTTACACCAAGGACGTGCACATTATCCACATAATCTTCTTTTACTTGTAATTCTGTTCAAAGTCTACTATGTTCTAAGTTCAGACAAAGACCTGCCAGTTAGATGACAGTTATCAGTTTAAAGAAGGATACACTGTATGTATTTGTGACTTACAGGGAAAAAAGTAAGTTTGACATTCCTGAATTTTTTATTTTAAATGGTCACTACTACTTACTAGAAGTTGTTTGCCATCTTCATTGAGAAGCACTGTTTCTAAGGTTTGCTGAATATAAACACCTTCATTGAGATCATCTAGATACCTAGAAAAGAAACCCCAGAGCAAGTTATCCACTGAAAATGAAAGGTTAATATCGTTGAAGAAGGACAGTAAAGATGTTTAAAAGATTAGGCAATATACCAGGTATTCTGGCCTTCAAATCATTTGTTTCCATTCACGTGCTTTAAGAATAGGTTTGTGAGTAGGAATTCATGATTAGGGCCACAGGTTATTTATGGCCACTCCAAGTAAAAGGAACACTCCTCAGTCCTGATTTATGAATTACAGAAATCTTGGAAATAATGGCATAAGAACACAGGCTAGTTAGCTTAAAAGCTAATGAGTAATGAACACTGAAGGGCTAGAAGGAAGACAATATTGTATGGTCACACATAAGAAGCAACGTTATGGCTACCAATGCTACAAAAATTAAGTTTGTTTGTTTTTTTTCCCACTTCTCATATTCAATAAACTAAATTAGGATCAAGACTGAAAGCCAAAGACTTGGTATAAAGCAAGATGATTATAATACTACACAAGAGCAGGAAATGATAATGAAACTCTACCATACTTCAGATGACTAGTGCCACAGGAAGGAAAAGAAAATTACCTAGGGTATAAGTTAGTAAATTTCTTAGTAACTCAGAAAGATATACATGTTCTAGTATGTCCCTTCTCCCTCTCCACTATTTACTATCAAAATTAGCTATTACTAAATTAGTCAATACCTGTTTAAGTCTACAATATATTTATGCACACTTTGAAATGCTAAATAAAATCTGGTCACAATTTCTATGTTGTTTTCCCGAAATTCTTCATCTAAATCCTGTAGCTCTGGCTTAGATTCCAGTTTGCTTTCACATAATTCTGGACCCTAAGAAGAAAAACACATCAAAGAAAGAGTCAAAAAAACAATACAATTGCGGGTAACAATTTCTAAAGAATCTTTGAAAAATGTGTTCCTATTTATGTCTCTAAAGGGATATCAAAAATTGAAAGCAGAGGAATAGAAAGTAAAGAAGATAACAGAAGCCTAGATATAAAATCCCCTTGAAGGAGATGGTCTTGAACTGAAACCACAATTTGCATGTGTTTAAGTGTGGTGGACTTCAATGTGAAATACATCATACCAAAGTTATCTTTTAAAAATTTGATTATATTGTGTTATATTAGGGCTTCTGTGCAGTACGTTTATATTACTTTTCAAATTAGCTGATATTAAATTTTGTTGAAAAGCTTTTCTTTTTAACTCTTTCTCCATAATTACTTAACATCTCAGAGTCTCCTGGTTTCCAGAGAAAGCATGCTTTTGTAGAAAAGATTGGTAAGAAAAGCTTCGAGGAAGATTACCTTAAAATAGCTGAAATCAAATATGATATCTCCATATTTCTGTTGATCAGCTCGGTCTTTTAACCTGAATACAGCAGGAATAAACTCAGAGAGCCTCAAAAGTTCAGCAATGATGGCATTGCCACAGGAAACAATCCTTAGGATTGCTTGGCCACACAGGTTATTCTCAGCCAGAAAGTCTACCATCTTGAGGAAAATCAGCTACTCTGGGCCTGGCCACAGGGAATGTGTAACTGGCTTCAGAGCTGGGGTCTGTAAGTCATCAGATGAAACCAGGTCTGTTGATACATTGGCCACTCCATTAAATGACCTGCAACCAAAAAAAAAAAAAAAAGGTATGAAAAATCTCTAATCCTTTGAAGGAAGGATGTGAAACACATACACAATATTTTTCTTTCAAATTCACTGAAAAAAAACTATAATATATAATGACTTCTGATATGGAGGGAGAGCATTCCACTCTGCATGTTTTCCTTGTGGAGGGACTTTGCTAAATTATTACTCTTGGTCTCTTTCTCAACACTTTATTCACTTCTCTCCATGAGAAAAGCTGTGATGCAGCTGATCCCAGAGCTTGGTAGAAGGTGTCATAAGGCATGTGTGGGTCCAAGGGAAAAGGTAACTATGTCCTAAAATTTACTAGAATTAGGTGAGGGAACAATCTTTAAAAATGCTTTTTTTCAAACATCAAGTTTAGGAGGTCCCACTATTGAGACTAATACATGCCTGAGAATTATGATAGGGTGATTCTAAACGAAGGACAAATATTTCACACTAAGCAGTGGGAAAGTTCTGATTAGCAATGTATCTTGAAATGATATCATCAAGACTTATGAAAGTTAAGTTTTATGCCCAACAAAATTGAGAGTGAAATTGCAGTAACTCTGTACTCAGTGGACAAACCAAGAATGGGTGCAAAGTTGACCAAGTGCTGTGGAAGGAAAGAATCTAAATTCTTACTGATGTTACTGATTCCTTGATTCAACTGTGGCATTACCTCATCTTGTAATCCTTGTTAAATGGATTGCTTTTATGGTTTATCTACTGTTAACTGGGTTTTGCATTATTTGTAGATGAAAGCATTCTTAATAATATAGATTCACTTGTTCAACAAATATTTATCCAGTGCCTTCTATGTGCGAAACACTGTTTTAGGACCTGCAGCTATTGTAGTGAACATAACTAAGTTCCTGCTCTCATGAAACCTACCTACTACTGGCAGTGGGAAAGAGATAAATAAATAAACCATGTATCAGGCTGTGACGATGCATAAAGAAAAGCATGGTAAAGGGATGGAGTGTGTGTGATGTTACACAGTTTGTAAAAGTGTCTCTGATAAGATGATATTTGAGCAGAGATCAGAAGCCAGTGAGGGAGCAAGCTGGAAGGGTATCTGAGGTCTCTAAGAGGGTCCTCCCTGTTCGTGCCCTGTTAGGCCTCTTTCCCTGAGTGTGACTTACTGATTCCCTTCTAAAGAAGAGAATGTGGAGGATGTGAAAGATGCCATTTCTGACATTAGACTGCAAAAAAGACTGTGACTTCTGGCTTGAGAACCCTTTCCAGCTTATGGGTCCTGGGAGAAGCAAGTTGTCATGGTGTAAGACAGCCCTGTGGAGGGAGACCATAGGATGAAGGAGAAGTCTGCCACTCACCACTTGAGTAAGCTGGGAAACGGATCCCCCCACCCTCCACCCCAGATCTCAGTTTGTGTTCATAGCTTGACTACAACCCCCCAAGAGCCCCTGAGCCAAAGGCACCAGCTAAGTCGCACAGCTGACTCCTGACCACAAACATTAATTAGACAATAAATGCTTACTTTTTTTTTTTTAACTCCGTAATGGCTTATATGGGAAAAGAATAGAAAAACGACTGGATATATGTATTTGTATAACACATTCACTTTGCTGTACAGCTGAAACTAATACAACATTGTAAATCAATTATACCCCAATACAAATTAAGAAAAAAAAAGAAAAAAAATGTTTATACTGTTTTAAAGCCACTAGGTTTGAAGATAATTTTAGATGATGATCTATGAGAAGGGCATTCCAGGAAGGAGTTACAAGGAAGTACAAGTAAGGCCCCGGGGTAGGAATGTGCAAGGAAGAACAAGTAGTTGATGTGGCTGGTGGGGAGTGAGCTGGGGACAGAAGCAGAGATAGGGGAGGTGGAGCTGGGCCCATAGCAGGGATTATGGAGGAGCCACTACAGTTACCCAGAACTCTCTCGCACAAGGGTTGTCTATAATATACATTAAGGCATAAATTATTAACAAGTCCCTTGTTTTCTCTGTGAAGCTTACTTGTTGAGTCACACTGATCCCTAGTAGGTTGAATTTCAGATAATTTCATTCCACTTCTACAGAAATGGTCTGGCTTGGAAAATGAGACAAGGAGAAAATAAAGTAAAATGGGAACAAAAGTCACTTGAAGTCCTCTGAAGAACACCAAACTAACCCAGGTTTCAGCAGGATGAAATTCTAGACTCAATTCAGAAGCAGGGCGCTTACAATGAACAGGTCTAACTGCTACCATTTGGATACCAAGACAGGGCAGTGTGGCCAAGAGAAAACAGCTTAAAACAAAGCAACATGACCTGCCTTCTTTCCCAACAGACAGACACACTGGGCACATGCATGCACATGGTCAAGGAGGCTTAGGCCTGGGATAATGACATAAGTCAAAACTCTGGCGTGTCTGTGTCTTATTTAAATCCCTTTTACCCGTGAGTTACACTGAAGGCAACTTCAAGGCAACTTCACGTTTGACTAAAGTTTTTGGTGGGCCTTCCTGGTGGCTCAGTGGTAAAAAAACCCATCTGCCAAGACAGGAGACGAGGGTTCAATCCCTGAGTTGGAAAGATCCCCTGGAGAAGGAAACGGCAACTCACTTCAGTGTTCTTGCCTGGGAAAACCCATGGACAGAGGAGCCGGGCGGGCTACAGTCCATGGGGCCTCAAAGAGTCAGATGCAACTTTGCGACTAAACGACAACAAAGTCTTTGGTAAATAGCCCCACTGTTGGCTGAAAAACTGGTCCTAAAGAATAGAATTTAAGAAGCATCATTAAATATGCCTAATCATGTTGCAGTGATCTCAGAGGCAGGTGGCTTTACAAATGTTAAGATTTAGTTGAGACAAAAAAAAAAATCACTCTAGAATGAGGTGGGAATAAGCATGGTAGAAGAAACTATAATATACTAAATCTTCCTTTTAGAGGTTCTCCTGGTGCTAGGAATGAAGACAATTAATAATGACCACTTATCTCAGTGTAGGTTGTCTTATTATTTGCCATGAAATGAAACCAGAAATTTCACTCAATTTCCTAATTTTCTTTTCATAAGGCACCCATTTACTTTAAAATGTAACTTCATTTTAAAGAACTGGTATGGAACTGTGATTTTTAGTTTGGAAAGTAATTCTAGACAAAAGACAACATGCTTTCAAGAATGAAGCATGGCAGCATTATACCAACTGCCCAAGGAGTACAGAACTGAATTATGAAAATTAAAGTCCCCTGGCAAGAATCATTCTTTATCCTACACAGAGGAAAAAAGAAGATTGATCTAGTTTAATCCTTTCATAAAAACCTCAGTTCCATATAGAACGGAGCACTAGTCCCCACCCATCCATTATCAAGAATAAACTGCAGCGGTGGTTGATCAAGATAAAAGCTATGGGTGCATCTCTTACAGGAAAGTTCTAAAATGAGCCTAATCACTTTAGTTTGATTATTGGATCCTGAAACAGAATTTTTAAAAAAAAGGAAGGTGTTCCTGGTAGCGGACAAAGGCAATGATGGCTCTCCCTCCTCCCGGCAACATCTAGGCCGGAGGAAGCTCCACGCACTGGGAATCTATCAGGAGACCCAGTTCCCTCACCGGCTCTGGGTTTTCTGTTTTTCTAACTGTACCCACTCCGGTATTCTTGGGCTTCCCTTGTGGGTCAGTCGGTGAAGAATCCGCTTGCAATGCGGGTAGACCTGGGTTCGATTCCTGGGTTGAGAAGATCCCCTGGAGAAAGGAAAGGCTACCCACGGCAGTATTCTGGCCTGGAGAATTCCATGGACTGCATAGTCCATGGGGTCGCAAAGAGTCGGACACGAGTGAGCGACTTTCACTTCACTACTTTACTACCACAGACAAATCAGGACCCTCAGAATTATTATTATTATTTTTAATGCAAAGGACTTTGGCGTGTCACAGGTGAGGCAATTAAGGGTGCGGAGAGCAGCAATGACTTGCCCAAACTCAGCCCATGGCAAAACTAGAATTCAAACCGAGGTCCGTCAGACTGTAAACGCTTCCACCAACCACTCAGGGTTCTCGAGAGTAAACGGAGGAATCACAGCGTCCACAAGGCTTTACTCCCGGAAACCTGGAAGGATCAGAGGCAGACGAAGCAGCTGAACATCATCACCTCCTAAAGCGCCAAAGCAGCGTGGAAAACTGCTTCCACCTGAGTGGAGATGCAGAGTCTGGACTGCAACCGCGGTTCCAGGAAAACCCCCAGTCCTCTTACGCCAGGCTCCCCCATCCAGACCCCACCCCACGCCGCAGAATCCCCCACGCTCCGCTCCTGGGCCAGCGCGGCCCAGCCCCGGGGCGGGGGAGGGGACGGGGGAAACGTGAGGAGGCGGCGCGCGCACACTGCCCGGACTCACCTGTCACCCGGGCCGCGCCAGGGCGCACGCGCAGGGCCCGCGGTCGTGCGCGGAGTCTGCACGCCGGCCCCCACCCCTACGTCTCCGCAAGGGTCCTTCTTCTTCTACCCCCAGCCCTGATCCTGAGCCAGCCAGACCCCGGCTTCCGCCCCTGGTCCCTCGGCTGTCACATGACAGAGGGGCGGGGAGCGGCGGGGCGTCATGTGACCGCTCGCCGGCGACGACTGATGACGTCCGAGCCCGCGCTTGCCGTTTCAGCGACAGGGGAAGGGAGTGAAGGAAGGAGTTGGGGTCCGGGCGTGGGGAATCCGGGCGCAGCCGGACAAGAGCTACATCCGGCAGCCAGGTAAGGCAGGAGCGAGGGATGGCGATGGGGAGGGTGACGAGGGGTGTCGCCTCCTTCTCGGGCGCTCCGAGGGTGCCCGGAGCTGCGATCTGTGGACCTGGGTTATGGTCGTGGTTCTCTTCACGGTCACAGCCGGGAGGCTGAGGCCGTTGACCTCACTCTCCCAAGACGCCATCTCTC